TTGTTTATGATTGAAAATACAGTAAAACTCGCTTAAGACGCTCTTTAAGGGACCAGCTCTCTAAAACGTCTTATGCGGGAAAGCGTCTAATGCGGGAATGAAACAAAATGATGTGGTTGAAATATCGAGTTTATTTTTTATTATTAAACATAATTTAATGAGAAATACACTTATAAATTAATTATAATTACAATATACATACATACTTATATTTTTGTGCTACTGAATTTAATTTTAAAAAATATTATTATTACATACATATTTTATTATTGTTTATTAAAAAAATGATCTATTTTTGATTGTTTAAGGTTCTGACAATGTGTTTCAGCAAGAAAGTTTTCAATTTTATTAAGACAACCTAACATTTCTTCGGAATTTTCAACACAGGATAATACTTTCCGAATTTCCGATAAATGTTGCAAACCAGTAGTTATTGTAGGAGTAGATACTGGAAAGTCTTGATCTTCTTCTTCTTGATCGTCGTCTTCTTTCTCATTGTCCACTAAGTTCGTATCAGCGATTATTTCATCTAAAGTCCGAGTGCTACTGGTTACGAGTTCATCATCTACTGTTGCGTAATCAGCAAAGTTTTGCAGAAGCTGAAAGTCCTCTTCTTTTAAAGGCGAGCTATCAGCCTGTTCAGAGTTGTTCAACACACCAAATGCAGCTTTCCGAAAACAGTTTATTCTATTTTTATTTTCACAAAACTACTAAAATTTATCGTAATCTGCTGAAAAAAAGAGCGTTTTACCCGATTAGACAGAGAAAAACTGAGCGTCTTAACAGGTGATTTTTACATTGACTAGTATAGGAAATGTCTAGGGACCGACTAAAAACAGCGTCTTATGCGGGAAAGCGTCTTAAGCGAGAGCGTCTTAAGCAAGTTTTACTGTATTTAATTAATCTTAAATGAATCTATTCTAATACTGGGCAGTATTATTTAATATGTCTTAAGTATAATTATCTGAAGAACAATCCACATCAAGCCATACCTCTTAACACTAACATTTTACAAACTCTATTTAATCGAAAAAATAATTGATAAGTTTATTATTAGACGACTTTTATATTTAAAATTATTTTTAAAAACATTGAAGAAATGACTGTACTGAAAATTAGAATATAAATTTAAGTGTACTTTCCTCATTAATATCTAGAACAATTGACTGTAATTAATATGGTAAATTTAAAATCAATGAATTATATATGCATGCAAAAAATTATTTCAACTAATATAGTGTATCAGCATCAATTTATAACAATATCCTAAAGTTTATTTGTAAACTGTTCTTGATTTTTTTTCTACTTGAATAACGATTGGTTGAACTAATATTTTATAAAATATTACATGCAACAATTATTTATTTAAACTCATAAATATGTACCTTTAACTTATTATTAATAAATTATAAAAAATACTAATTATCTTTAGCAACGAAATGACGAGATCTATTAGGTTAGTTTTAAAGAAAATACTTATAAAATTATAAACCTTTTTTTAGAGTATACAAAACAATACTACAATCACCAAGTCTCCAATCTTAAAGCAATGAGAGGATGTATGTATTCACTTATGAAAACGAATTAATAAAAACTTTTAAAAAAAAAAAATTAGTTGACTTAAAAGCTACATATTAGTTGCGGATGAATAATATTGTTCAGACCAAGACTATTACGCAACAACAAATTTCTTTATCAAAATATTAATTACCGACATTAAGTTAATAAAAACCATGTTGAGTTGAAAACACAAAATATTTTCCTTCACCACTTTTTCAAAACTTAGGACAAGCAGCAAAAATAAGTTGAAATTTTAACACCTATTATTAAATAATATGGAATCCTATATAGTTCTTGTAAAAATATCATACATATGGTTACATTATCTTCTTTATCATATATTACGCACTGAATATCAGTGGCGAACCCAGGGGGTGAACCCCGGGTCCGAACTCCTCCCCTTGGCTTATGTCATAGTATTTATTTTTATTTTTTAAAGTTACCCTGAAATTTTCATCAAATTTTATTGATTAGATTGATTATTAGATTTGGTGTTTTATGGTGTTTTATTGATAACAAGTCAAATTCGATGTATAGATACAATTAATATTAAGACTAATGAATAATGACTATACCATAATTTAACTGGCATAATAATAAAAATTAATTTACATTGTAAATATAAATTTAAATATGTAAAATATGTGTATTAAATAATATGATTTTGTTCATTAAGCAATAAAATGTATGTATTATTTAAGGAAAAGAACAGAAAAACGGTAGATAAAAAAAATTTTAACCCCCTCCCCCCTTGAATAAATCCTGGTTGCGCCACTGCTGAATATATTTAATTCACTGTGAATATAGAATTAAATAAATAAATCTTGCATTAATCCCATCTAAAAAAACAGTTTGACTAGAACGTTAATTATATTTATGACCACTTTCTGAATTTCTCCTGAACCATTATTTAATTCCACGACCGTGCTATTGGATTTAATTTAATTTACTCATACAAAAAACCTAACAAACGACTTCATATTTATAAATTATTTAATGTATTAACTTAAAGCAAAAAAAAAAAAATGACCACTAAACAAAATCTTCATTTTTATTTTTGTTTGTAGCCTCACAATATTATAATTTAGGTACAGGCAAATGGTGCTACGAAAACTACTACAGTTAAGATAAACCAATCAACACATCTGATACAACAATAGGTAGGTACTTAAATCAATTAGTGATTTCATACGTACCGCAATAACTGACAGAACTTATTAATGTTATTGCAATTTTATTTTAAGTGCCTAATTAGTAATTGCTTTTCCACTCATATGTATTTTCTAAAACAGAAAATTCTACTCTAACCTGTTGAAAAAGTGATGTACCTAAGTTTCTAAATTATAATTGTAAGTACGTATGTTCCAAGAGTAAATCATAACTTTTAAATTAAGTATTTATTATTTAATTCTATCATAATCAAAAATATTATTATATTTTACAGATAAAACATCAAGATTAAACAATAGTGAATGTACAGAAAATAAATAAGTTAAAAATAAATATTATAAAACATTAACCGATTTATATTATTTTTCTCTCGTAAAATAAACGTACCTATATTAAATATTTAACTATAGTCTATAACTCATTGAAAAAAAAAATACAATAAATCGATGCAAAAAAAATACAATAAACTTACTTTATTTAAATGAATAGAGAACTGTTATGGGTGTGTTAAATTTGAATTAAATTAAAAACAATTGTATGTATCTACACGAAAAAACCAAAACGAAAGTCAGCAAAACAAATAGTCATGCTGGATTTGTATCATATGCATACAACTTCTAAAATTCTTGCCTGGCTATAGGTTCGAATTGTATTCCGTAACTTAATTAAAACTATAAAATTAATATACAAGAATTATTTATTAAATTCAAAAATAAATAAAGTTAAAATTTACCTGGTTACCTGGTTGGAGATATACCATAAAACTAATCCGATTGATACATAATTTATTGAAATCAAACTTTTATCGCTTGAAATTGATTTTTGCAATTCACAGATTTTTTTCAAAAATGTAAATAATTAATCTTTTGTATCTTTCCTTTTTCCATTCTTCACAATTTGATTATTCAACTGTTCGACTAAGTAATTCTTTAATCTTATACCTGCTTAATTTTAAACTGGCTAATAATTTCAATTTTTTTTCTTCAAACTCTTCATGAGATATAACATATAAGTAATGAATAACAATAATAAAACTTTCCATTCACTATTTTAAAATCAATATTATGTCATAGATAAATTGTTTTCTTATTTTCAGTTTTTAAAAAATTGATTTTATTTCAAAGAAAATTATTAGGTAATTAAACATTATTATAAACAGATGTATCTATTACTTTATTTGAGCTAACGCGTTGTTTACAATTCAGAATATCGATTTAATTTCTAAATATATCGTTTTGTATATTTATCAAAACTAAAGTTAGTATTTATTTCGAAAACTTTCTAAAATTCTGAGATCCATATAATTATACGCTAAAACTACATCATGACAACAAACATTATAAGAATTTAAATATTTATTTAGAATTAAGTTGTAATAATAAATATTAGTTCCAAACTTATATATTATTACATAACATATATATAAAATTAATTTAAAATAGGTATCATTTAATATTTACCTTTAAAGTTTAAACGAATAATTGATATGTTTACCCCCTACATAATTCACAACAATAGTATTGTAATCTTCAACATCATTATAATTTACGTGGTGACGTGGTACCTATATCAAATAGTTAGCATGATATTCTACTAAGTATACAGCTGCTCAACTCATATTATACCTACAATATACGCCACAATTTTATAATTCGCAGACTAAGTTAATGTCGTTGAATTTACTTCTCGCACAAAAATACCTAAATAAAAAATTTAATTTCAAATGCCATTTATAATTTTAAAAAAACATCTATTAATCATTATACCTGTCATATTTATCATAATTCATGAGATTCAAATACATGATTTAATATATCAATTTTAAACCATTTGACTTTCATCGTATGATATATAGGTAGGTACCTATATCCATCTATTTTCTAGACATTATAACCTTTGAAACTAATATAGGTTAATCTTTTTGTGGAAAATAAATTATTAGTTATCTATGAATATTAACTAAAATTTAAAAAAACACATACACTCCTATATAATATATTTTAATATTTTACAAGAAATATTAGATTATTTTTTTAAATGTTTACATAATAATATTTTAAAAACTTTAATTTGTCTGTAGTAAACAATAACAAATGATAAAGTTAGCTGTCCAATATAATATATTTACAATTCATGATAATTTTATTTATTAACATTTTGAACGATTTGCAATACATTTATGATAAATAGATCATTATATAAAATGAATGATTTTGAAGCACTCTTAAAATCTGATACAGAAATAAAAACATTACTAAAATAAAAAGTAAAATTTGAGCAATAATATTACTTATGTATAGTTATTTTTAAAAAAAAATTACAAAAAATATATATATACTCTTATATTTATCTCATTAGGCATTTTATCAGAGATATTCCAAGTACACGGTGATTACATGAAGGCCAATTACTTAAAATCATATTTATCATTTAGTCACTGAGCAATACCTTATTATTTGATGTAAAACAAAAACATTTTTTCTCAACCTATGATAGTTTTTAAACAGTACTCAAAGCATTATTATTTAATCTATACTTGGTATCCAGTTTTAAATAAATTATTTATCTGAAACATCTCTACTATTAATTACTACTTTACTATCAAAAGTCAATACATTGTATTGTTGTTTCATTCAGTCAATTATCAGTCATATACCCTGTTAACTGTAAAATAAATAATACTATTAAAAATAATACCCTTTTTATAATCAACTCATAATATGTGATAGTGAAAAATTATTTTTTGAAGTAGATGTTCGCATTATTTTGTCAGCTGGTGTTACACGATTTCTTGGGCCTGGTTCAGGTGTATATGTAAAAGTTAATCCTGTAGCATAGATAATCCCATCATTCCTTACTAATGACACTGGTACTTGTGTAAGCTGTTTCACCCATGACCAGTCTCCTCTAAATGAAGAAATATCTGGCACAACTGCAATCATACTCTCTTGGCAACGAAACATAGTTTCAGACTCAACATTTCCAAACCATACTTGTAGATGTGGTGTAAAATTTTCCCCACTTAGTTCTAACATAGCCACATCGCCACCACCATTAGTATTTAGTCCATGCACTACTGGTACAGGTGTTATAGGAGAATTTACAGGTCCCATTCCTTCATAAAATTGGTATTCTGCTTTGTCTGTACTAATTATAGTCCAACAAGCTCCATCATTGATCATTTCTTTATTTGGCCCTTTTGGACATGGCGTGGCATTGAAATTTGTTATACGTTCTTGGGATAAACATAAATACATATGATTAGTGTCTTTCATGTAAAAAGCGCATTTGTGCAATTGTGACACCGGATCATCAGCTTCTAGCAATGCTGTTTGTTTATCAACTTTTCTGATAACTAATCGAGGTAAGGCCATTCCAGAAACACTGCACACTAATTTCACAGTACTACCATAATGAATGTAACCATCTCGAACATTGAACATATCACTTTCACTTTCATCATCATCCAATAAGTAAATGATAAAAGCTCCCCACTGTGTTGAACTAGCATGAAAGGTCCCATTTTCAACATGTAAATATCGAGTGCTCACTGTCTGTGATCTAAGCCTATTGAACAATGCTACTTTTGTACCACTAGCTATACATAAATCAGCGTTTTTTAGGGATTGTTTTTTTTTTTGAAGGTTTAGATATTACTTTGATTCGTTTACTATGGAAAGTTCCAATGTCGTAACCATTGTTGTAAAACATTCTAACCATCAGCATAAAATGCTTGCGCTTATCAGAATCAGATATAAATAAAGTTTTAGCTGCACAATATTGTTTAATATTATTAAGATCAAGTGGTTGCAAATCTTGATCTGCGCTACCAATACCAATAAACGCACTCATTTGAGAATTAGCTTCAGTCACTCCTTCTCTGAGCAGCTGCTGTTGACGTAAATTCCAGCCATTGCCAAAAAGATAAACACATGGAGGTGGACAGAAAAAGCGTTTTTCAGTACCATAAGACTTTTGAGCAACTTTAGCATGAAGTATAACTAAGACCAAGTCATTGCGATCAAGTAAATATCTTTCCATAGCATCTTTAGTCAGCTTCTTTTCAGGTCGAATCTGCGTAGTCATTTCTAGACCATAATGATGAGGCATTGTTGTAGAAAACAAATACACTGTTGTAAATATAGTTCAATTTCTATTTATAAACCTGAGAAAAAAAAATTTTAATTTGTAAAACATAATATTCTACAATTTTTATAATACTAAAATTATTTAACATTTATATTTAATATAAGTAGTTACTTAATAATTTTGTATGAATTAAATATTTAACATCAAATTAAAATAAAAGTTATAATTACTATTTACTAATGAATAAAATAAATTGGCACTAAAAAAATGTTCAATATTACATTTATCAATTATAATCATATAGGTAATACCTATATAAAAATATAGTTACCTACATGAATTTTTAAAATTAAATCAACCTAACCTAACTACATTTACACATTAAACATATGTATACCAAAGCATATACTCTAAAAAAATGTTCAATATTACATTTATCAATTATATTCATATAGGTAATACCTATATAAAAATATAGTTACCTACATGAATTTTTTAAAATTAAATCAACCTAACCAAACTACATTTACACATTAAATATATGTATACCAAAGCATATACTTTGAAACATATTCTTTGATGTTTGCTAAGATCTGTGAGCTCACAGCAATATATTATTTTACTACATATTATATTCTATGAATAATTAATACAAAACAACATTAAGCTACCTATAACAATTAAACAATGCACAACAAAAACATTTTTAAAAAATTACTTACCATGGAATTAACTTCTACAATATTCATATCTCAATCACCGAATCCAACTTCAGAGTAAAAGTATTCAATTCATAGGTACTTTACAAGCGTGTAGAATATCTAAATGAAACGTTTCGAATAGTTAACACCTTGATATTAAATGTATTAGAATATTATTTAGCAACCAAAAACGACACTGTTGATGAACTATTTAAGTGAGTTTGGTATAAATACGAAAAATAATAACGAATAATATATTCGTTAAGTTCGTTAAAAAATATATACCAACACAATACAACTAACAAATACAGACATAATACAGTAATACTGTTTTACCTAATAATTAATAGACATTAGACAATAGTTACTAATAACGAGTTAGGATTGGGAATTGTGATAACATTATTATCAGGAAGACTCAAACCATACAATCACAACGCGATAACAACATATAAACTAATAAAACCAACCTAAAAAGAAATAATCAAATTCTTCGCGGGTTTTTTTCCTAAACCTTTATTATGTAATAATAATTTTTAATACAAATAAAATAGACTGAAAACTTAATCAATTCCATTTTATACACCCTTCCAGTTGGTGCTAGTAGCTAAATAATCTAGTTAAAAATTTTTTTTATTACAAAATTCTCTCGACCTCACAAACAAATTAAAAAAACAAAAGTAAGTATACCTAGGTGGCTAGATATCTAGTTAGTAATGAATAATGATACTACGAAAAGTAGGTAATTACAATAATCGTACGATCCAACCGATTAATATTGGTTACTAAAATATTTTCAATTTAAAATTTTAATAAGTAACTTCAATAACAAAATATTTTTTCGATAAAAAAAAAACTAATATAGTAGGTGTAAATATTAAAATACTATATTGGCTATTTTGTTATGCACCGTTCAATAATTGTAATATTAAGTTATTTTAATAATTAAATTTATTCAGTGGCATAGTTATAGGTGTGATATGAGGACAGATCCCCCCTCAGAACCTTTTTTATATTTAATGCATTGATTAGTACTCGATGAAATATTATGTTTTAATCACGGATATAATATGCGATTGCGATATAAGGCTATAACTTATAAGGATATGGTTATAAGCCCCCCATTTTATGCTTATCCAATAAATTATACATCCCCCAAGAACAAAATCATAACTACGCCACTAGATTTATTAAGCCTCTTTATTACTTATTTACTTTATTTTTTAAGTAGGTAAAATTATAACCGAGGTATTATAAATATCTAAAATTCTGGGATGTGTTCTATAATTCACTTTTGTCAGTAAACGCTACAATATGAGTTATGACGAGAACTGTCAACTATAACGAATTCAGCGGAAGTTTCTCAAGTTGTGTGGTATTTTGAAGTGCTCCTTAAACATTAAATACAGATTTAGGTTCTTTTAATATAAAACCCCCAAGTAAAAATAATAATTTATAAATCAATAATCATAATAATGAAATTAATACAAATACAATTAATTAAGTTAAAAATGTGCCGATTGTACAGCGGTTCTCAAACTGTGCTCCACGAGAGTAGTTTAAGAGCTCCGTGGTTCCCTGGCCATTTCTGTATTAATTAAATTTAAATTATTCGCTGTATTACTTGTACCTATTTGTTTGGTGTAAATATCAAACTTCTCTTGAAGAAGACTTCTTATTCTTATTATGTCCACCTTTGTCCAATTATACAACTGGTCGTAAAATTTTTAATATACTAATGCAGTAATGCTAAACAATCTTTTCGAAATAGAAGGATTGACTTGAGATAACTGTATTGATATTTGTAAAGACGGGGCGAAGGCAATGATTGGAATAACTGCTGATGTGATTTCGCGAATTAAAGAGCTAACAAACAATTGTAGTAATAGTCATTGCATTTTTCAATGTCAAGCACTCAATATTAAAAAGATGCCAATACCTCTTAAAAATATTCTCGATGAGGCAGTGAAGATTATAAATTTCGTAAAACCTCGACCATTGAGCATAAGTCTGTTTACAGTTTTGTGTGAAGATATAGGAAGTATTCATAAATTACTATTTTACCATACAGAGGAAGATGGCTTTCTCGTGGAAAAACACTTGTACACTTACTGACTTACTTGAATTACACGTTTTTTTCACTGTAAACCTATTTAATTTAAAGCTCACCCTTATTGATAAAATTTGGTTATTTCAACTTAGTTACTTAGCTGATATTTTCACAATAATTAATTAAACTTATCAATACAAGTTAAAATGATCACAGTTTTCACGGCAAATAACAAAATCCGAGCTTTAAAAAAAAAATTAAATTTTGGGCTGTGTTTTTTTCAAAATAAAATTGATAAATTTGATTTGTTAAAGAAATATTTAGAATTGACTTATGGCTATATTGAAGAATTTGATAAAATAAATAGCGAAATTGAACAAAATTTAAATGAAATACTATTGTCCATAAGAAAAATATTTTTCAGAGAGTAAAAATACAGAATTTATCCAATATAATTGAGTTAAAAATCTTATTTTAATCAACGATAAGCGTTATCTATAACGGAGTATGAAGAATGTATTGAAATAACCACAGACTCATCTTTAAAAACTTTATTTGATAAAATATCATTAACAGATTTTTAGTGTAGTAGCAGTATTACTAATGAATATCAATCTCTAGCTAAAAAAAAACTATATTAGCACTTCTTTCTTTTGCAACAACTTATCTGTATGAAACCAGATTTTCATCGTATGCATCGACAAAAATAAAATGTCGCAACAAATTAGAGGCTGAAAAGTAGACATGTAAATACAACTCTTGTCTATCAAGCCAAATATTAAAATACTGATCAATAAAAAAAACACATTATAATTACTAAATATTAAAATTTATAAAATAATATTTTCTTTTTTCCAATTTAATTAATTAAATAATTTGTATATATTTATATTTTACTGAAAAAAAAAATCATTTACAATTGACAAAATTATTTATAAATTATTGTTGTCTCAAATACATTTTTGATTTTTGAAACTCTGTATTTCTTTTTAGAAGCATAAGAGCTCAGCGAACAAAAAAGTTTGAGCAGTTGCACTAATATATATGTTACGGGTAATGTTAACATTCGGATAATGTCGACATTATCCGGCTAATGTCGACATTAGCCATCCATGTTGGCTAATGTGTAATTTTTCGTTTATAAACTTGAAATATCAACATTATCCGGATAATGTTAACCTTAGCCAGTCAATTTTGGATAATGTTAAAAGTTATGTACTATTTAATTTATTTAAGTTTCATCACTGCTTGGTATATTAATTTAACGTGACCACTGACCCCAGCTTATCTTACTGATAATCAATCGATAATAATAGAAAAAATTCTGAAATTTGTTTGATAAATCAAGCTGAAAAAAATGAAATTTAGGTCTATCCATAAGTTTCCCCCAGCTAACGTCGGAGATAGTGTGAGAGTCACTTTACCCGATGTCGACAGAGGACGAGCAGACCCAAGAAATATTTTATTTGCAGTTGTGGCTATTGAGGACGAACAATATTATAAACTTGGTAATAAATATGGTACTTTGCCACAGTTATATACCAGAAACCAGTTTGGTGTTTGTCCGATATCATTAATACCGCTTGATGAGGTGGTACCTATAGAAAAATCATTGAGGGAAATTGCTGGTCTAATATCAGACGGTAGTGGTGGTCAAGGATACAAAAGGTGTTCATGCAAAGGTAAATGTGATACCAATCGTTGTAAGTGTAAATCATCTAATATTTTGTGTAATTCAAAATGTCATGGAAGTATGCCATGTAATAATAAATAATAACACATTCATTCTATTCTTAAATACTATTTAAAAAAAAATCTTAAAATATAAAATAAAATTTAATATTGTATTATTAGTAGATTAGGTTATTAAAAATGAAAAATAAGCTCATTTAAATTATACTCGTATTATGTATTTTATGGTAATTAGTAATTATTGTATCTTTTTTTTTTGGCATATGGTTAATTGTATCTAAAATATATTTAATATTGCTAATAATTTAAAATGATTTCCTATCATGCATGATGCAATTTTATAGTTGTTAAGACATTATCCATAAGTCCTTGGCTAATGTCATATTAACCGGTTAATGTTAACATTAGCCGGCATTTAATAATATTCATGGCGGGTAATGTTAACATATGGCTAATGTCGACATTAGCCGGATAATGTCGACATTATCCGAATGTTAACATTACCCGTGACATATATACACTATACAATTTTAAAAACATAATATTATTATATTATCTATGTTTTTGAGAAATTATAAATCATAATCCTCAGAAATATTGAAATATTAACAAAAATAAAATGATAAATTTTTTAAGATTTTAAATTTTATTCAATTTTTTAATTAAAATTAAAACTTACTCTTTACAATTTTGTAGATTAAATTTAAGTACTAAAATATTTCTATAACTTAAATTAAGTGAACAATTAATATAGTATCTTTTTATGTAATATTCTTTATTTTTTAAATACTTAATTATTAGATAGACCTTAGTAAGTTTTTTGTTGATAAGAGATTTTACGCATAACAGATGTATGTAATTATAAAATTTATAACATAAACAGCAAAGTATGAGAAAAAAATGTATAAACAATTTATTACTTAAAAATATAGTTAAACAAATTGTAATAATTATGTAAATCTATAAATAGGTACAAACTTAATAGCAATTAATTTAAACTATTCACTAAGTATATAAAAATATGAAAGTTTAAGTAACTTAAAATATAAATCATATTAGATCCGTATTATCAACATTAATCTGTCATGATAACCGGTATGCCTCGGGCAACTAAAGCGGCATAGTTGAAAAAACTTCTTGTAGTTTTTCTAGCAATTACTAATGTGCGTAAGAGTTCTCTTTCCATATGGTAATCCTGTTGATCTAAAAATTCTTTAGGCCATTTTTCTGAAACATTATCCACATTAACTAATTAATATATATATATATGTTTTAACTAATCAATAGATAAGCATAATTTTACACCTAAAATCCACATATAATAATTTGAAAATATTATAAATGTTTATTTGCAAATATTTAATTATTAAAATATGTTATATAGTTAAATCACCTTGAAGATTAATGGGATTTCCAGGTAGCCAAACATTAAGCATAGCTCTAGCCAAGTTGTCAGCATCTAAACTAGTTACATTCCATAACATACCAATGACACAAGGACTAAATAAATAAACAATTTATTAACAAAAAAAATATAGTGGTGGCAGTTGAGAAATAAATTACCAGCCAGCTTTTAAATATCCATAAGAAGCACCCACAAAATTAGGCCTTCCACCCTTATCTGTGTGTTTGACACTTGAACATCCAAACAACATCGGTATACATTGCAGATCTAATTTATCTAAATCCAAGCTATGCAAGTATTGTGTTCCATTGCCGTGGCCACAATACCTAAATAAAAATTTTATGTCAACAACTCAAAATATTATCATACAATTACTTACAATAATATGTTATTTTTTTTTAGTATAGAACTGAACTGTTCTGAAGTAGGTTCTTGACTTTGAATACCAGGCCAGTTAACATTTCTTTCCTTGAGGAAACTGGACATTCTTTTTTCTGCATTAGATAATGTTTTATCTGGGTTTAAAATGTAATATCCTTGATTTTTAATTTTCCTAAAGATCATTTGCACAATTAGAACATACACTGATATAAATACTTTTTAACTATATTACATTAATCCGTTTTGAATAGAATCCTTGTGTTTGTTATATAATCTGTGTGCAATATGTACAGATGACACACGAGATACAGGATGTCTTTTCAAACATGGTATTGTTTCCCATGGTAAACATTCTAAATGCTGTGAAACAAGAAATTCAGAAAATAATAAATATACATTATTTTTTTTTTATTTTATCTACACTCACACCATACCTCGTCTAATATGAGTAAAACAGGATGTCTTTTTTTCAACATTAAATGTGAACCATTTAATTTATATTTATTAATAGCAGACTCAAATTTATTCATTTCTTCAGTTGAACAGTCAACTTCTTTAAGAATGTTGCTTATTTCAACATCTGTCAGTTGAACAACTGCATTTGTTATCTGATACAAAATCATTCTACTTCGGTCACTTAGAGTCATATTTTCTTCTCTGAAAATATTTTATTATATATACAAATTGTATATATATGTGAATAACAATTTTCTAGAGATAAGATACAAATTACTAACTCAATGACATTATCGATAATACTATAAACTTCTGTTGAAAGTTTTTCATCGATATAGTTGCCTAATAATATACAAATCCAATGTTTTATCCAACTGGTATGAATTTCTTGTGAAATGCTCTATTAGGAACAATAATTTTAATTACAACTAAAATAATAAATAAAAGTTTGCATTTTATAAACTTTTTAGAAATATTTCAATACTTAGAATTGTGTGCTTACTTTAATTGACTGCGAAGCAGAATCTCTTAAATTCCGAATAGCTACTGGATCTTTATTTTGTCTGTCATTTGTATCTTCTAAGCTTTTTTTCAGAACTTCAAAGATAGTTTTTTGTCCTAAACTGGATTTGGCTTTATCTACTTTTATGGTCAAAGGCTTTCTTAAAATTACACAAATAATTAGAAATAATAATAAATATAATAACAATGCCAAATAAATTTAATATATCATACATATTTTTGTATTTTTGACCACACTGATATCTAGATATAAAAAGTTCACCAACTTCTGTAGGTTTATCTGTAGGCCTAGGTGTTACTATATCTTTGGGATTATAGTTTTTAGTAATTTGTATTAATGTCCATTCAGGTGGCATTTCTTTTAAACGTTCAAGAAGACCATGGTATCCTTTTGTCACATATTCTGAGTTCAAGGATAAACACTCGTTAAGTTCTTTATTACTAGCAGTACTGTAATAAAATATATATAAGTACTTGTTGCCACTGAACTCAATAATTAAATTATTTAAAAGTAGATTCATAATAATTATTAATTGACTTATACAAGAATATATTTTGATTAAAAAAATAATAAAACAATGTTGGTGAACTTACTCTGGATTCATTATCAATGATAGTTTTGAACGAATTCCACCTCCATGAGCTTCAGAAAGATAATATGCAACAGAATCATATTCTTTTAAGCGGTAACTGATATAAGCAGCAGCTTTGTTAGTATCTGTAAAAAGTTTTAAAATTAAAATACATTTCTAATGCACAATAAACTTAATGAGTTAATGAATTATGAATGAACAGTTATACTTTAATACTATAGATAAATGATATAAATTAATATTCACAAATATATTCAATTCAATAAGCAATATAATATAATAATGTACACATATTTTTATTCAAACAAAAACTTTATAGCATGTTTTCCTGTAACATCTAGCTATAGCAGACAGCAAAACAGAACAACTATTATCAATAAACCTTTAGATGCCAACCATGTCTAAACTAGTAGCTATGTTTGACGTGCAAACCCTGCATGAAAAACAAACTTCATATAGAATTTAATATGTAATATTACACTAAAAATAAAATTTTGTATATCACTTTGAAATAATAGTATGAAAAATAGGTTTTTAAGTGATATCTAGAAGATGGATAAAATAAACCAGTAATATTAATGATGGATTATAGGAAACTAGAATACTCAACTTGACTTGGAAAATTATATTCAATGTAAATAAGTATTAAAATTTTTTTCAAATAACCTAATTTTATACTAGAGCTAACAGCTGATCTAAATTTCAAATCACCTATGTACGCACTAATTGAACAAGTCACCATAATACTTATTAGATCGGTACTTATTATGTACCTTACCATACAAATAAATAATTATGAAAATTATAACCTAACAGCTAACACCTTTAATAGAAACGTAAGCAGTATATCAGCAATGATTGAAACTTACTCTCGTAAACAGGAAATGGTGGCAAAGGCATTCGTTTTATTTGCGACAAACACTCCTCGATTTCATTGAGGACAGTCCGGCACACAGCATCCGCTTCCATAGTAACGAGAATGAACGATTATCGTTAACGACCCGTCATCAACCTACTAAACAATGAGCCGAAAACTCCTCACATTTATTATTTCTTCCGGTGATGTGTGATCTTCTTCCGGAGAAACGGAGTAAAATTTGAAATCAACAGCGTTAGACAAATAATTTAACACGATAACAATGGTGTTATATATGTAATAGGTACATTATTATAGTAATATAATACTATAAATGTGTTGAATGTCTTCAATGTAGTGAATTTGTATCTGCATGTATTAGCTTGTAGTTGAAAATTTTATTTTTATACTTTTCTATGAACTGTGTACTCACATCTAGTCACCGAAAACCATAGTCGGTTTAAGTTTTAAATATAAATAACATAAACAATAATATTGTAAACACGCGCGATAGCAGTACAGCAAGGTTTATACCACGAATGGCACGAATTGATATTTTGTGTTTTCATGGTTTAAACCACGTTACTACCTTTTGTTCCACTAAATAGTTGTTCCAATGTCAATTAGTTCAAATTCAATATATTATAAAATACTGATAAAGTGATAAATTAATAATTATGATAGGTAAGTACTGCCGTCCACCATAATAAAAAAATTACACGTTGTTATTTCCTTTCAAATTTATTATTAATGTTTATTCACTTTTCTCTTAATACTATAACGAAACATCAAAATTTTAGTTTATTCATTTATTAAATTATTATTATTTTCCATAACAATAGTTAACGATACACATACATGCATATTTGACTATAACATAAAATAAGCGATTTAAAAATCAAAATGCCGAACTGTATGGTTCCTTGTTACTCTATAATAACTAAAAGAACAGCAAATATAAATATTTCATACTAATATATTATAGAGTAAGTTTAATTACAATCGTTTTTATTGTTTATTTAACTTCAGAATATAAAGTATGAAAATGTATTTACATGTACTATAGTAGATAACTCATTTTACTAATTAATAATATATTTAAAATATAATAACTAATAATTGTATTTTAATTTTGGATTAAGAATATTATATATATATATATATATATATATATATATATATCTTAATTCTTTAGGAAAAAATATGAACAGTTGACTGCAATAATTATAGAGATATTATAAGTATAGGTATTAGGTGGGTAGGAGTGGTAGGACCAAACAAAATCCTTTTACTACAACATTTGACAGTTCATTTTAAAACGTGTGCAACACTGCAACCACAAAACCTTTTTAGAGATTCTAAATCAAAAATATTTGAGAACAAAACATCTTACGTTTAAATATAATATATGGATCAGATATTTGTTAATCAAGTCAGTAGACAATTCATAAAATTAGCAATGACATTGGTTAGGTGGTCAAAAAGCACCTAAATTACGTAGTGTTATATATTTTTTTCTAGTTAGCTGTAGCATTTACGCGATTATCCAATGTTCAATTTTTCGGATGTTTGTGATTAACCTAAATCAATTTTATTGAATTATTGATATATTAATAATAGTAATGAATAGTAAATACTATTACTAAGTTAAAAAATTATTGTTCATTCAATACCTATCGGCTATCTGACTAGGTACCTAAAATATGAAAAAAAATCAAGCAAGTAAAACGGTATGATGTATACATTTATGATGTCGAGGGTAATTTGTCATTGAGTTTGAGTAGGTCACTGTAACGGATATATTAAATTTGAATTAAATGATAAATTATTAGGTACCTAGGTATATTTAAAAAATAATTCTAAGCAAAGTGATTTATCAGCCTTGTGTAAGTTAAAATTTTTTATCTTTTTGCATATTAAAATATATATAAATTGGTACATAGTTATTAATTACATATTTATGAAAATTAAAAAATCTAGTATAAAATTGTATTTTTGAAAATCTGTTATCATTCTTCCATTTGTACCTTGTCATACTTAAATATATTATTTATAAACTGACAACAGTGACAACACGTTTGGTTATATCGATTATTAATTACTATGATGGTAATTTATTTAATAACATACCTATTAGATTAGTTTTTGCAGAAAACATTGTATTTATTATATTGTTATTCATCATCATCACCAACCCTAAAATGCCTTAATTGAAAGGTCTCTTCATTCAATCAAATACCTACCTACAACACTTACAATTATTGTAAAAATATTTTTTTTAGATACTTTAATAAAAATAAATGTTAAAAATATATTATAATATAATTATAATATAACAATAAATACTTACCTATTTATAATATTCACTTACGAGTTACAAGTCAATATCAACTTACTGTAGAACGGTAAGAATAGGTCTGTGTTAAAATATACAAAGCTTAAAATTTATCTAAATATTTTTAAAATATTATTTTGAGAAATAAACCGGCATAAATATTCTCATGAAAAATATTCTTAAATGACAACAAAAAAAAACTAAAATTGTTATTTTTTGTTAAATATCCAATTCGTTAACATTTGAAATGTAATTCAGTAAATGTCAATAAAAAAAAAAAATGTTTGTTTATACCTAAATTTTTAAGATTTTTGGGCTTAAGTAAAAACTTATTGTAGGGAACATTGAATTAAAATATTTAATTCAAAGTTGTAAAATTTGAATATTTCAAAAAATTTTTAACAAAATAATTACCCAACAAGTTTTTAATAGGTAGTTTTACGAATTTTATTAAAATTTGAACTTTAAATAAACAGCTAAGAAAATAATTATGCAAATGTCCATTTATATCCCAAAGTGTACCAAGTGTAGAAAATACTAACGTACCTATACATTTTATGAAAATGTCATGTATATATAATTGTTCATTTTTGAATTGAAATAAAATAATACAACATTATTAAAATTTATCATTTTTCTTATTATTGTTGTTTTTGTAATTCATCAAGAAAAATATTACAATTTTTTTGATTTGACTCTCAAAAGTGTCAATAATTAATGAGATACATGTCCTTCTAGAAGAGATATTGGAAGTTGAAGATTGAACCATTTTGTCATTAGTCAACATCAGAGTATTATATCAATTAAACCGAGTTTTGTCGATTAATAGACAAATGAAAAATATACGTAAATAATAATAGTCATTCAGTAATTTCAGGCTGATGTCATGTCTGCAATTCCAACGAATACGATTGACATGTGACAAAGTGACAACGACGAACACTCAACATAGTACTTCATCGTCGTACGAGCTTGCAGAATTTAGCGGTCAGCAGCGGTTAAAGTTTGAACGTACCGAAAACTGTTTACCATATCACTAATGAGTATTAGTCATTAGTCAATGGGGATACTCGCTACTCAATACTCATGTCTCATTACACTGATAATTTTATACTTTTACTTAACGACACCTAGCTTATATAATCAATACAAATGCGTTGCGTAATCGCTAAATCACGTTTAAGGTTTTATTTATACGCACAACGTACGGCGTCTTACCGTCTGGTGTTGGTTAAATGGCTTCAGTGAGTGCAGTGTAGTGGCAGGTACTAGGTAGGGAATTTAATAGGTTATTTCAGGTGAAAATGGTGAGATAGCTGTGCAAATGTCGAAGCAAACGGTTCTTGGCGGTCAAAATAAGCGCAAAAGCGTCCAAGACGATAGCAATCATCGTAGTCACAGATTACGGGCAATGGCGCAATGCTGAATGCCAGTAATGCGACGTCACTTCACCGGTTGGCGATTATATAGTACCGTTACTGTAGTCCTCACCTTTATTCCGAATCCCGATGTAAATAATTATTTAATACTCCGAAAACGACTTTCACCCCTACCTGTCCTAATTTCTTCATCACCTTATCAACGTGACCATGAGTAGTGAACACTTCGGTGTATTCGGTCAACCGTCGTTCGTTATCGTTTGGTATTAGTACGCACTACACGTAATTCGTTTGCTGATTGCTGTTGCCACTTGTGTACTGTGCACAGTGTGCAGGCCAGTCACTACTCACTGCAGTCGCTAGTCGCCACTCGCCAGTCGTGTACTCGTCAGTCAACGTTTCAATCGCTTCTATTTCCAACGTGCGACACCGCCGGAAAACAATAATCGTGTCGTAGCAACAGCAAGTCCATTTTCGGCGGTGGTGGTGTTCGAAGAAGAATGAACTTAATGTAAGTAGAATAGTAAAAAATCTTCTGGAAAAAAACTTGTCGACCGACGCACTTTTGATTCCGTACCATAAATTCAATTGTTACTCCGTCAGCGCATTTTGTATGTATGTAATTTTTGAATAAAGGAGTGGGTAACAAAAAAAAACAAACTACACACCCATAACCTGTAGGTGCGTTGTAGTATGTGTCCAAAGGTCAGTTTTCTTCAGACATGTCCAGCGCTAAACACGATTTAAGGTGTGACCTGTAAGCACTCAACCACACGGAAACGCACAGTACGGACGAACATCTTCAACTGTTCTACTAGATATTTCTCACTCAACGACGAGTAAACTATGTTGTCACTGTTTAGCAATGCAAACAACTATACCGCTTCAATCACGGGTATGTGTCACATAATTAAGGAACATAATGTTTTCCGTTGTTACTGGTTATTTGATTAAAATTTGAATGTTACAGTCGGCTACATTGGAGTAGATGTTGATTTGTGGCTTTGGATGACATGGCTGCTTTGGCCACTCATTGTCACATTCTTGTTGCCGCTCACCATTGTACTATTATTTAACATAACTGGTATTATACTATACGTCTATAAACTTCACAGGTATAAATATATGTATTTAAAGACTTACATTTTATAAATTGGCAATAATAAATGATCTTAATAAATTGTAGGAATAACTAATTGAAATAGTAAAAGGATTATTAGGACTTTAATATGTATTTGAAGTAAATTGAACATAAGTATCTTACGTGGTAACCAGTTACAACTATATTAGTTTACATAATCTAATTTATAAAAAAATAAAACAAACCTGTACTTTTATAGAGATAGAAATTATTGAAAAATTATCAATCAACTGTAAAAGTAACAGGTGTCTCTTTTTAATTAAATTAGTAAAATGCTAAAAATATATATATTGTACATTTTTGAGAATATACTTCCTTCAGTTTATAAGAATTATTTGCCAAGTAAAATATATTTTTTAATTTAATTTGTTGTGTGTTAAATTTTTTTCTTTCACATTTTTTTTTTTTTTTTTAAAGCATGTGTAGGTATATTTCAATTTAAAAATTTTTATTTTTCCCAAAAATTTGTCACAAAGTAATGAGAAAAACAGTAGCCTGAATGTATTTTGTTGTAAAGTTTAAAATGCTCATAATTGGCTTCTGAAACTTGGCTGACTTTCAGTTGCACCACACATTTATACTATTACTATTTTTAGATCATGTTCACTTACCTTATTAATAAGTTTTTTAATAGATTTTATCTAAATAATTTAATTAGTATTATTATTTATTTATTGTTATAAAATAGTAAACTGTAAATTTAATACAATGATTAAGTACAATGTTGTCTTTAAGGTGATAGGTCAAATAATATTCAGGAAAAATAAAATAATTCTAGAATTTCTGTAATTGTGCAATAATTCACCTGATAAGGTTATAGTTATGAACCATAATTAAAGTATTTAAATTATTGCTTGTTGGTTCTGGAAATCCATAATAAGTACATGCTATGAGTTATATCCAATTACTACAATATATCCTTGAAAAAAATCATAAAATGAAAAGTTTACTTAATTGTATAAAAAAACATACTATTTATTATAGATTTAAAATGTAATGAGTATTCTTATTATTTTATGTTGTTAAATATCTTTATACTTATACAATTCCTTAAGAATATACTTATTTAAGTTTTCATTAATGTAAATTATTGTCATTTTAAATTATGCCATTTTGTGTAGTATAGTATATAATACATTTTATCGATATAGTAGATTACTGGTCAAAAATTAAAATACAATCATATTTATAATTATATAGTCTTTACATTGGTATTAGTCATTCACTAGTAATTCATGGTATTAGTTATTTTAGATTTGGTAGGTAACTGGTAAGATATGATGAATGTTGGTTTTGATTACTGATTAATAATGTAGCCATATAGGTATCTATTATCTTGTACTTAGTTTACTTAGTATAAGGTCAATGTTACTTAAAAGTATTACACATGTTAATATTTGTTTATCTAAGCGTTTTGTTGAAAAATATAACAAAATATTGAAACTTAAAATTTACTATTTTTTTAATGATGTATTTTAGTTAAAATTCCTTGTTTAATTTTAAGTTTATTGAATTTGAAATTCAATTTTTTTAAATTCATTACTCATCAATTACTTGAAGTCCAACAGCTTATTTTTATTTATTTTTTTATTTTTTATTTTCTTAATATAAATTATATTGTCTTAAAATGTTTTATTCTAATAACAATTTTAAATATTATATTATATTTCATAATATTTAGTGTAACACATTTTTAATATATCAAATTTTAAACAAAACCTAATTGATTTTATTTTGTATACTAGTTTTCTGATAATAACTATAAGTGACTTAAAAATGCCACTTTTAAAATCATAAAATTTATTTGTTTTCAAATTTTAATAATCATTTAGCTATACATAATATTGTATTATTGTAGAGAAAGACTTATAAATGCATACGAAAATAATTTTTGGGATGGTGCATTAAAAACTGTAGCTGCATTATGGGATGCCCATGGTTGGATTTGGCATGGTAATTTATTTTAAAGTTAAAATTGTTTTCATTAATAATTAAAATGTAAATTTTTTTTAGGATATGAAGTAAATGGCATTGAAAATGTGCCTATTGACAGTCCAGCTTTGTTAGTGTATTATCATGGTGCTATTCCTATTGATTTATATTACATGATTTCTAGAATATATTTGATCAAGGCAAAATTAGTTCATACTGTAGCTGATCATTTTCTATTTAAATTACCAGGTAATTATTAGTATTATTGTTTTTGTTATAAAATCTGTTTAAAAATAACTATAAGCAAGACTGATATAGAAACTTACAAAATATATATACATATTTAGAAAATATCAGATTGAATGCTTCCCAGTAAAGGGATTTATCAATAGCGTCATTTCAGGTTTTTTTTAGACTAGGAAATCACTTACTGATTCGCTGAATCAAAATTTTTTTTATGCTCACTTAGTCATATAGTGAAGAGTTATATATATATACAAGTAGGGGAATTTACCAAACAAACATTATAAGTGCTTAATATTAAAAAATTTAGTAAATAAATTAATGGAAAGTAAAATTATTGAACAAATAAATTATATATAAATAAACCTTTTTTAATATTAATTTATAATTCTCATGTCAACAAATCGCCATTGTTCTACAAAATTATAAAAATATTCTGTGTACATGAAATTTTATCTAGTTACTATTTATGTGTTATTAGTAATAATAATACGTTTTTATTCAAAAATTTTAATCAAAAAAATGTTTACCCAACATGATAGAATATTATGTACTTTAATATGTACAATTTACTGAATATTAAATCCACTTAAAATTTTTATTTTATTAATGCATGTTTAGGCTGGTCAATAATATCTGAACCATTGAAAGTAATACCTGGTACTGTGCAGACTTGTTCAGATATACTAAAAGAAAACAATCTTTTAGCAATTTCACCTGGTGGTGTTTATGAAGCTCAATTTGGTGACAGGTATTACAGGCTTATGTGGAAAAAACGATTTGGTTTTGCTAAAGTAGCTATAGATGCTAAAGTAGTAAGTTTTTATGCAATTTTTATGATATACTATATCTCTTAAATTAATCTATTTAATTTTGTTCCAGCCTATTATACCAGTATTCACACAAAATATTCGTGAAGCTCTCCGTTGTATTGGTATTGGTCGTAGATTCTGGTTGCGAATTTATTTATGGACCAGGTTGCCTATAATACCAATATATGGATGGTTTCCTGTCAAACTAAGAACTCATATTGGTAAACCAATTCCATATGACCCAAATCTATCAGCCGAAGACTTACAAAAAAAAGTAATACTTAAAAAAAAACTGTTTTACTAAGCTAAGATGGCTTAAAAAAATATATAATTATGTATGCTTTAATCATATCTTTTAGTATATTATTTATTTATTCTTTTTTTTTATTTTGTTTAGGTGGCAAGTGCAATTGAAGAATTAATATGTCAACACCAAAAAGTGCCTGGCAATATACTAAGAGCTCTCTGTGAACGGGTTTATAACCCTTTAGGCTGTAGTAAAAAGAAAACATGACATTACGCTTTACTTACTAATGATGGGGAAGTTTAAAATAATTATCCCTGTACTTAGACTGTGTTGTGGTACATTGTAATTTTTAACAAATTGTAACCGACTTCTCTATAGCATAATTTAATTAATGAGATCTTAATTTATTTTAAGTATTTATAAGTAATATCTTATATATAAACCAGTTTAAAGTTAATTTTTAACTGACTGTAAAAATTATGATAATTTATTTTTTATTTTTATTTGGATAAGTACTTAATTAATTTTAAAATAAGCGGCTTAATAAAATAGCTACATACCACAAATTTCAAAATTAAATTTTTCCAAATTGTTCTAGAGAAGGCAAAATGTCGTTATTATTAGTATAAATAAATTTATGTATATTAATTTATATTAATTATCCATAATCTACTTAAATTTATTTGGAATAAAAAAGTATTAATTTTAAAATGGTATTGGCATGTAGCTGTGATTATATTATAATATACACCGAGACTTGATATAGTTATTGCTTTTGGTATATAATAATTTATTATTTGAATTTTGTGTTCAATTATTATTATGTATGTGATATGCAAATGTTTACATATTATTCAAAAAAACCATTAATGGTTATGATAAATTTAATTCCCATTTATTGTAATTTGGCTGTCCACTTTTTAATTTTAATTTACCAAAATGATATGATATGAAGAAATTATTTTATAATTTATTTAAAACTACTTTGTGATATATTTTTAAATATTTATTATTATGTATTTGACATTTTGTGTTAAGATTGTTTAAAGATTCCGATATTTATTTTTATGTTATTATATTTAAACTTAATTTTGTTATAAAACATTATAAATTATGACATGTTATTGTTACCTATTTTAGAACATTTCAACATACTGAAAAATTAATTCACTAAAATAATGACTATGGGATTTGGTCATTAAGAATTATTTCATGTTTGCATTTATATTTAATTATAGTATTGTTTTTCATACTTAAAATAATAAATAATTATATATGTTGAAATCCATTGATAAAAACTAAATTTATTATTATACTTATATTATCATTAATAATTAATTTAAAATGTTGTGATATGCTTCTAGATTGTAGCATTTTGTTATCAAACGTCTACCACAAATCAATATCTATAAATTTCTCTACAATTATTATTCCATGCCCCATGGTAACTGACTCGATAGCATGCATTTCTATCCATAATGGAATAAACTGTAACAATAAGGTATATTATGGATTGTATGTGAGTTTATAAGTTAATTTTACCATCATAATTGTTGTTATTCATTTTTAATAGTAATTTTTCAATATAATTTGATTTTTAAACCAAAAAATGTATTAATAACTTAAAGATCTTTGATGAATGATTATTCAATGTCCATAGATTATCTTGGATAGTTAGTAAAAAGTATAAAAATGTTACGCATGAAAAATAAATTTTGAGCACTGATAATTAATGTGTTCCAAAAAAAAAAATTTAATCAGCAGAGGTAATCAAAAACATTAAAATTGTTAATAAACTTAATTTATCGAAAAAATGTTAAAGGGTTGAGGCACACACGTGAATCCATATTAAGAAGTAAAAAAATAAAACTATTGATACAGTAGTCTAAACTGAAGACTACACTCTATCTGATTCCTAACAAAAGGTTAGATAATTAGTTCATTAATAAATGATTATTTAATTATTTATAAGTATGCTCTGGGATAGCTACAATATGAGGATGAAAAAAAAATATATAAAAAATTAATTAGGTAATTTGGGCAAAACCTCGTAAGCCCAAAAATGTTAATACTGCTTTTCCTCTTCGTATCTTGGTGGGGTGGCGCGGATTCAAACAGTGGTGAGTGGGGTGATCCGCTCCCCATCACTAAAAATAAGAGAAGTATATTTATAAAAAAAAATTTGACAAACTGGATGTTATATATGTGACTTACAGAATTGTGTTAACTGTCGGCCAAGTAATTATTAAGTTTATCATTTTGAGTTCTCTCTCACTCACTTCGATATCGCACGCTATTTTTTTTACCAGTCGTCCAAGAGTGAAAAATGTTATTTTTCCCGTGAGAATTCTTGGTGACTCAAAACACGCAAAATACTATTATAAAGTATTGGTAACGTACCTGCTCCAGTATATTGTTTTAAATTCATATTACGGTCGTTATTCTCCTCATTCGTTTAATAATATAGGTAATAAAATATGTAACCTAATTAATATGTTTGCCGTCCATGCTGAAGTAATGTACCTAGTACCTGCATATCTACGACGTAGGTTCGTTATTCTTCACTAATAAACGTGTGACGAACTAAGTGAACCGAAAATTATACATTATGCCTATTATAGGAAAAGTAATACAGTAGAAGCCGCTTATTAGAAACACGGATAATTGATACAATCGTGTTATTGAAACAAAATGTCTCGGGACGGATCGGCCGTATATTAGAACATTGAAAATAAATCGGATTATTGAAACATCACATCGGTTAATTGAAACAATTGGGAGAAGGTCAGTTGACATATACACCGATTATCTAGCGATAACCAATGTACTTCAATTTTATCTTTGCTGTCGTTACGTTTATTTTTACTGTAATTTATCGCGAGAATGCTCTTTCTGTACGTACTGGTCGTACCGTTTGTAGTTTAGCTTCAGCGTGCGTATGTAAAGATTATTAGTGTTTCCTTTTTCTAAAAATCTAAAAATGTCTAAACGCTAAGATTTTAGCCAATTTTCATGCGACCATTCGTGGTTTGAAACTCATTTGACCGATTTGCTAGCCCAATACACACGCTCTGATATTTTCAATGCGGACGAGACTGGGCTTTATTTTGGAGCTCTACCTGAACACACATACGCACTCAAAATAAGTGACAAAGCTAAAGGGGCAATATTACTCGTATGAAAATATGGTCATGGAGTTACTCGACGTAAAAAAACAAATTACGAATGATAAATATTTTACATAATATCGTAAAATATACACAATTGTGCATACTTTTTTAAATTATACAATATAGGTACATACATACATACATACATATTTTTTTCGCGTACCTATTATTCATTTTTTTTTTTCAATCGCTTATTAGAAACAATCGGTTAATTGACATAATTCACCTTGGTCCCAAAGTGTTTCTAATAAGCGGCTTTTACTGTATATTAATTGATTAATGTATAAACATAATGGTAGTGTCATAGAAGAAGTCGTCACTGTCCCCGTCATGTTATTTTACAATATATTTGTATCTTTGTCGTCGTGTAATAGGTATATAATTTTCCATATTCCAGCCTACCATCAAAGTTTAACTCAAATAAAAAGTCTACTAAATCAATACTACTGATCGTATTTAATGAAACTTGGACTAGATAATAATTTAATATTATCTAGTACCTAACTACATGGCGATTACTGCAAAACAGTAACACATTGATCAGTTGGTGTAGCAGTTGAGTGGAAATTGTCGGTATCTTGGTTTGCGTATATTTTTTTTTATGCTCCTGAGTCCTGACCCGCTGCACAACATGTATTGTAAATACAAGAATATAGTGAGAAAATATTAAATGTTCATTAATGTGATTATAAAATATAAACAAAAAAAAAAAAAAAAATGGGCCTGCACTATGAACCCTTTTTTTTGGTTAATATTGTTAATTTCATACACACAACGACAAGAAAAACTTGCTAATCAGAGGTGGACTAGCCAAGGAGACAAAAGGATAATCACCTCCCAGGCCCTTAATAGTGTAAATAATTAATAAAAATTATACATATTAATTAAACATAACGTAATGTTATTAAAATATAATAGTAAAACACCATTTATTTTCAAATGAATGAAAATGAATTGTGCACTATTAACTAAAAATATTTATGAATTAAAATGTGATAACATTAAGTCTAATTGATTAACCCTCCAGACCCCTCAATACACACTCTGCCGCTGGTGTTAATCGAGTGCGCGTTTGAACTTAAACGATGAGTTGTAAACCGAAACGTTCGCCTGCGAAAAACACGCGTTTAAAGTGTTTAAACGCGCGTGAAGCGTGGCTAATACCGACGTGACACAGAGGGAAAAATAATAAACAGATGTCTAAATTAACTACTATCGAGCATGGGTATCTCTAACAGTCGGTTACCCGCAGTCTGCAGATATATGCCAATAAGCGGCCCATCTTCTGCTCAATAGAGTAAAATTATGGCTCAACGGACGACATTAATATATTATACCTACCTACCTATTGCAAATCACGTAGCGATGATGGTAATAAATAATATCTTGTAATAGTACATTAGTAACCAATGACATGATATAATATATATATAAATGCATCATGCATGTAATTACTAATTGTATTTTGTATGAAATTATTGTTGGGGAATTTCGATCGTCTTGAAAATGTACGAATTCGTCAAGAGAAAAACCAGGAAAAGTTCACGAGTGTTCGTCGCGTGCATGCATCTACTTATAAACACGATGCGCACACGTGCTGACACGCCAATAATACACTGTATTCATGGACGTCCCCAGGGAGGTAAGACAGGGAACTTGCCCTTCTAGAATTGTGATAATTTAATGTAATAATAACGAAACATAATAATGTTCAATAAATAAAATGTATAATAATAATACCTTAATGTAATTATGACAATATAATAATGTAGGTACTATAAACAAAATGTATAAGAAAAATCTTCATTTATTTTTTAAATTAATTTTGCCCCCCTCCCCCCACAGAAAAATACCTGGAGACGCCCATGACTATATTTCACGACATACATAGTAATAGTTGTATTTTGGCGTGTATTGTAAACACACATTACTCAATAATAATAACGAAAATATATGGTTAAACACAAACGTGCCGTATGATTAATAATATAAATGCATAAAAAATATATTTAGAAATTAGAACGGTATTAAAATAATGTTCGATGTTTGCATTTGTTAGCTGATCTCGCCGGCGTAACAGCACTGGCTAGGTAATAGGTATGTCATCAGTTTTTGTTTAGTTTCAGTTTTAGTGGCGAATCTCTCGTCGTAACGGATGACATAACCTAGCTTGACCTTGAATTACCTAAGGTACCTATACCTTTTTTTTTTTTACTTTTTAATTACTTTTTTATTACTCTTTTTCCCTTACTTTTTGTTTAAGTTAGTGAGTCATGACATCTTTATCATTAAGTAGATTAATGATTAGGTATTTAAATTGTATTTATGTTAAAAAAAATGTCTTTTAAAATACAAAAAATATTCTATAGCTATAGCAACAAACTCTTTCTATCATCACTATTTAATAATCTAACTTCTGTGTTTAAGGAGCCTCACATCCTATCTAAACCCTATAGGGCCACCAAGTTTTATGCTATGCTACCGAGTCAAATTAATTTTGATTTACAGAGATTTGTGTTAGGTACTGAGATTTGTTTGTAAAATTATTTAGCACTGTACAATACAAAACATACAGCGTTATTTTTGCGGTTTAAAACTTAACCTAGTACAATAGTATACATTAGTAGTATAAAAAGGAGAATTCTGCCCCCTAGCCTTCTTGGCCCTCTTTCCTAGCCCACCGTCCGATCCGCTTCGTGTGTGACGTATTCACCCCGTCCCACACCGTGGCAGGAGGGCTAGGGGGTAGAACTCTCCTTTTTATATATAATACTTATATTTTATACTCTCTGGTGTATTATTTGATTAGGTAATAGGTGGTAGCTGGTAGGTACAATTATGTGAAAGATTCACGTTATATATCCCATAACTTAATATTTTAACTTTTAAGTAACTTACCGTATGCATAGTCATTATCATGTGCATACATTTTTTTATATATTATAGTTTATAATTTATAGCCTTATAGGTACTTACAATAACTTACTTATTTATTTACAGATACATATAATGATTAACATGGATTACTAGTGTTGTAGAGGTACGTAATTTCATGAATTATGATAATGAAATAATGATTTAAGAAATTAAGATTAATTTACTTAAATCATGATATTATGTTGGTTTGCAATTCTAATAATATTGATGGAAGTGTTCACCACCATAAAGTAATTACTATATGGTCACTCACTACACATCAATTATCAGTACTATATACACAGCAGGCAATGCTCACATTTTGTGTAATATTCTACTGATGCAAATTTTAGGTCAACAATTTTCTGTTTAAGTTTATAAAGTTTTTTTTTTTTTTTTGATTTTCCTGGAGTGTCGCCAGTGGGTGGCTTCTCCTTCATGTTTTCTGGCTGTAACCTTAATTTTGTTAACACTTAAGTTTCATACATAATTTGTATAGATTGTTTAACTCAAATAAAAAATAAAAAAAAAGTTTTTTTGATTTTCTCAACTGTTGTAAAATTAGGTAATCGTATTTTTTCTTTATTATACTGTTGCTTTTTCGGCATTAGGTATATTATATACCTACCTTATACATTATAATATATATAATGAATTAATGTATTTTAATAAATACTTAACTACGCATGTAGCGTATAATAAATTATAGGTATATTAATATCTATGAGTAAATATTGACTGATTGGTGATATACCTAACATAGTAATATCTAATGATTCTAAGGTAGACATTAGCTGCTTGCCGCTTGGTAAATTTAAAAGTTAACTAACGTGATAAAAACAAGAAGGCTCACTATATTGATAAATCTCACTCCTTATCACGGTTATCGTTATTGTCTTATCATAAAACAGTATTATCAGCTGTAGTCGTTGATAGACGATCGTAGACAAACTAGACCATAGTTCAGACTTCAGTCTTTAGTATTCGTTAGTCGTTACTTGGTTGTTGTAAGTTACAACTTTTTGAATAAGAATACAATTATTATTTATTTTTAATTTATAACCGATTCAGTGTTGCCGTCGCATACTGTGTTTGTAGTTTGATCGATTTACTTTCGTGCTTACGTAATTGTCGTGGTGAGTATTATTTGGTAATATTTCAATAAAATCATTTACTTATCTATTGTGAATATAAATATTTTTTTAGTTATTACTTGATCCTATACTACTATTAATTGTATATTTACTGATTCCATAGGTGCTGTACTCCCATTGCATAATAATGATTTGGTAAGTTGATTGTGAGTCAAGAAAAAAAAAACAGAAAACATCCAATGACTTCTGAAACTCCTCCATCGATCAGTGTGTCGTTTGCTTGTAGCAGTGGTGAGAAAATACCATTAATGAATCGTCGCTATCAAGTGTTTGACTATTTTACACGTTTATTTGGAAACTCGAGTTCTAATTCGGAGGAAGCACCCAAGGATGGATATGTCGAGTTTGGTAATATTGGGGAGGCGACTAGTGGCCGTACACTGGGACCATTTGCTGGTGTATTTGCACCCGTCTGTTTGTCCATGTTCAGTGCTATGTTATTTTTGAGAGTGGGTATGGTATTTTATATTATTCATATATTTTTTAATAAATTATTGAAATATTAACAGTTATTATAATTTGTTTGCTTGATTAGGATTTGTTGTTGGAAATGCTGGCCTCATTGAAACATTATTTCAATTTGCTATTGCTTATACAATTATTGTTTTCACTGTTATGTCTGTCTGTGCTATATCAACCAATGGTGCTGTTGAAGGAGGTGGTGCTTATTGTATCCTTTGATATTTATTTTTTATGGTTTAATAATTATTATTTATTTTACATTATTAAACTGTTTTGATTAATAATTTATTTTACCAGAATTATGAATAGGTATTATAAATAATATTTTCCTTATAATACCGTAAACAGTTATGATTAGTAGAACATTAGGACCAGAACTTGGAGGATCAATTGGAACATTGTTCTTTTTGGCTAATATTGTAAGCAGTGCTCTCTGTCTTACAGGATGTGTAGAAGGACTAATTGATAATTTTGGAGAATTTGGTATGTAAAGTTTTTAAATAAATGTGTAAACTTCTGTATTTTTTAAATACTTATTTAATTTTCATTTTTATTAGCTGAACAAAAATTTAAAAAAAAAATAAGTAATAACTCATTGTTTGATTTTTATTATTTCCAAAATATTTTTGACCGACTAGGTCAAATAAGCTTTTGGTTAACTTATTACTTTTTAATTTTTTCCAATAAAATTATTTTATGTTATGCTTAATGTTATATTTGGAATATGTTTTTTTTAAATACATTTTATTTGTATTTAACAATTAAATATAGTCCTCAGTAATTTAAGCAATTTAAAAATTAATGTATAATGTATAATTTTTAATAATAATAACTTATGGTATTTTTATAGAAGCATTTAACATGTAATCTATGTACTAAGTACTGTAGAAAACTTTTTAAATTTATAATTTTCATTTATATGTTTTTAGGTTATTTAATGCCAAAAGATAGTTATATATTAAATGATGGTCATTGGTGGAGGTTTACTTATACATCATCATTAAATTTCCTAAATTTAATGATTTGTTTAATTGGTGCAACATTATTTGCCAAAACTACTGTCATCATATTTGCAATAGTTGTTATATGCTTACTGTCATCAGTCATAAGTTTTTTTTTGAAATCTCCATTTCAAGTAAGAAAAACATTAACAAAATATTTACAACATAAAACTTAATTGATTTTTGTTTTTAGGTTGAGGTGCCTGCCGCAAATACCTTTGTTAATCAAACAAATACCACTGTTTTATTAAACTATACAGGTTTTAGTTTAACTACTTTTACTGAAAACTTAGGCCCTAGTTTTGGTTATGATTACACATCAAACAATATTGCTGTATCTTTTTCATCAGTGTTTGGCGTACTTTTCTGCGGTGTGACTGGAATTTTAGCAGGAGCCAATATGTCTGGTAGAAAAAAATATTTTTGCTTGTTTAATAAAATTATGCATTAAGAATTTGTTAAAGGTATTTATTTTTTTAGGCAATTTGAAAAACCCATCTTATAGCATACCTCGAGGAACATTAGGTGGTGTACTGTTTACGTTCATATCTTACATTAGTTTGTCTATTTTTACTGCTGCTACATGTTCACGAGATTTACTTCAAGAAAACTACGTATTCCTAATGCCCATTAACATTTGGCCTCCATTTACTACTATTGGTATATTTACTGCCACATTTTCAGCTAGTCTTAGTTGTTTGATTGGTTCTAGCAGAATTCTTGAAGCATTAGCAAAAGATTGCATTTATGGTAAGAATTGTTACATTTTTATCAAAGCTATTAATCTGTTATTAAATTTTATGTAAATACTTTAAATGTATATTTATAGTCATTTATTGGACACTTAATGAATAAATATTTTTCATTATGTTCTTTTCAGCCTTTAAAGGGTTAATTATTAAAAATATAAAATCAATAGTCAACATAGATAATAGAAATATGATCATAGAAGAATTTTTTTTTAATAATAAAGCTAAATTCTATAAACTGTCATGTTATATTTTTTAATTTATCAAATAAACAAATACGATAATAATAATAATAATAAATAAATAAATAAATGTTAGTTATATTTTCAAACTTATTAAAAATATAACTAATTAAATCATTACCATAATTGAATCGATTGCAGAAACGACATGAGTCAATTTTTAAAATTTTTTTAAATAATTGATAAAAAGTGTATAATTTAAATAATTTTGAAAAAAAAATTGTATTTAAAAATGAATACTTGTAAAAATATATTATGCACTGATTATACGTAATTTGTATATATAAATAATATGATGTTTTTTTATTACTGACTTTCAAAGTTTTCTGTCTCGTGATGTTTCACAAAAAATGTGACTCGTGTCGTTTTTGCAATCATCGATCCAATTATTAGGGTTTTCAACGTTTCATTAGGTGTCAAGTATTTAATAAGTTTTTATCTTGTTATTCATTGTACCTTTAATTGTTATACATTACTTTCTTTAAAATATTTAAATCATAAAATGAATTTACTGCAGTACTCTTATACTTTACTAAAGTTATTTTATTATTTTTTATTTTTTTAACTTCCAGTAAATAAACGTATGATTTATTTTATTTATAATTTTTAAACTTTATGTGATTAAAATAAAACTTTAAACCACAAAATTATTTGCAAATTTTCATTATTTGATGTATTTTGTAAAATTAGAATCCTTATGAAAAAATGTAATTATCTTTTCGATATTATCTATTTGCTATAAGAAAAACTTATAAGAAACCTTGTATTAAATTTTTAAGGATATTATAGAGTTAAGTGAAATAGTTCTAAATCAGTAATTAAATATAATTTTTTTTATTTAACATAGTTTTGTACAAAATTAACCAATATTGCATATTTAGGTCGATTATTGAAATTTGTTAATTATGGAGTTTGGCGTTCAAATCCTATAGCTGCAGTTTTATTTTCATGGGCATTAGTACAAATAATTTTGTTTATTGGATCACTTAATACAATTGCTCAGCTGAATTCTATTCTATTTTTATTGGCTTATGTAGCACTAAATTTGACTTGCCTCGGATTAGATCTCACATCAGCTCCTAATTTTAGGTATTTATTATTATTAATTTTTGTTATTTAATTTCTATTATATACTTATATTAATATGTATAATGATATAAAAATTGTGTTCTAATTAATTTCTATTTGATGTTTAGGCCATCTTTTAAGTATTTTTCTGCATGGACATGTTCCTTAGGACTAATGGGTAGTGTTGTTATGATGTTTGTAATAAATCCATTTTATGCCTCCACGAGTTTTGGATTGTGTTTGTTACTTATACTGCTATTGCATTTCTTCTCTCCATGTGAAGCTACTGAATGGGGATCAATATCTCAAGCTTTAATATTCCACCAGGTATGATTATTTTCTTTACTTGGTTGTTAAGCTTAAAAATTGATTAAATTAAACCATGTTATATGTCCTCATAGGTCCGCAAGTATTTGCTTTTGTTAGATCCGAGAAAGGATCATATCAAATTCTGGAGACCTCAAATGCTGCTGATGGTTGCTAATCCTCGATCATCTTGTTCAACTATAACATTTGTTAATGATCTGAAAAAAAGTGGTTTATTTGTATTGGGACATGTAAAAGTTGACAAGGCAGAAACAAATTTAGATTATACAGACAAGACAATCTCATCCTGGTTGACTCTTGTTGATCACGTGAAAGTAAAATACATCATAAATAGCTATATTATCCTGTTTTTTACTTAAAGTTATATTATGGTTTTATAAAATAAATTTAGGTAAAAGCGTTTGTTGAACTCACTGTGGCTAATAGTGTACGAGATGGTCTACATCATCTTGTAAGGTTATCCGGTATTGGAGCAATGAAGCCAAATACCGTTGTGTTGGGATTCTATGACAATAAAGTACCACTTGACTATTTTACAAGGTTAATTGATAACACATTTTAAAACTGTTTGTACAAAATCATATTAACTGTATGTATACTATAGGTTAGATTCAGTTTATAAAACTTCGGTATTCCAAGGGATAACAACTAATGAAGAAAAATTCCCTTTGAGATTACCTAACGAAGAAAAAAAATTATCTGCATCAGAATTTGTATCAATGATCTGTGATATATTTCAAATGCATAAAAACATATGTATTTGTCGACATTTTGATTTATATAATAAGACTGATATTGTCAAGTATGATTATTGATTATATGATTTATATTATAATTTATTTTTATTTTGTATATACAACATGATAATTTATTTAGAAACATTAGGTTCAAGTATATTGATGTTTGGCCTGTTAACTTTTTTGGTCCATCAATGAATGACGCATATGACACAAGCAGTTTGTTTATGCTACAGTTATCATGTATTATTAAAATGATAGCTGTGTATAAAAAACACACATTGAGAGTACACCTGCTCAACACTATTGATATTCAAAGTCAAAGAATGCAGTTAAAACAGCTGTTGTCTACACTTCGCATTAAAGCTATGATTAATGAAGTAAGTGCATGCTGTTAAATATAAGATATTATAATTCTAATAATAAATATTTGATCTTTCAGGTTACAGAATGGTCCCAAATTGATCTGAGCACTTTAGACAGTGATAAAAATGCATACATTTCCAGGTAATTATTACTTTAATTTTTTATTTGTCTACAATGATATGATAGACATACCTAAATATTATGATATTTTCTATTTATTTTAGGGTGAATAAATTAATTAAAAACCAGTGTGCTGAAACTGCTATTTGTTTTGTTTATTTGCCAATGCCCAAAGAAATACGGGGGTCAGATTTACAAAATGTAAATTATCTTAATTCACTTACTGATTTAACCAATAACCTACCACCTACAGTTCTTGTACATGGAGTGAGTGCTGTTACATCTACAACTTTATAATACATATATTATTATTTAGTGATTATTTCATTAAAATATAATTTTATTTATATAAACATTACATAATTATTTTTTTATTTAAATTTTTAATGGATCTTAAATATCAATAACTTAATTATTGAGAAAAATAACTGAAGAATTTTATTTTATTCCATATATATATTTTTATAAATGTAATATTCTATTGCCGGATTACATTAAAAATTAATCAATTTAATGGTTCACTAAAATGTAATTAACCAATCATGACTATCAATTAATTTTGTTTAAAGAACCATTAGGCCATTCTATTGATTCATTAAATGATTTGTGGTTTTTTTTGCAATCCGGCATAAGTTTTGTGATACTGTTGAATTTGTAACATGAATATTTTATATTATACTTTTGTATTGTAAAATGATTTGATAATAAATATTTAATAAATTTATGATGAAGACTACCACATTATTTGGTTTGTCTTAATAAATAGTTATTGTTATAAAAACTTTTTAAAACTTATAAAAAGTGTAATATAACAATATTAAATAATGCATGGTGGTAGTGCCATACAAAGATGCAATTTACACTGTTAGTTTATGGTAATTTGTATAGACAACGGATGCTATTTAAATTTAAATTTAAAAATGGTTAATTATAATAACGAAAACGAGGTACACTTTTTTTTTCATTAATAAACAAAAAAATGTTTTAAAATTAATTTGAAAAAATATACAGTTAATATTTTTTATAGAAAATGTATAAATTTTAGATTAATTTAAAAAGAAAGTATTTAGAGAAAAAGTTTTATCTGATTCAACAATAAGTAACTATTTTATATCAACAGGAAATTTTTTTCTACAAATATTGTTTTTTTCTAGTAAATTTCATAGTAAATAAAGTTTAAAATGAACAACAGTCAATCAAAAAGATAAATAAATTAGTTTAATTTAAGTTATAACATAAGATATAGTACAATTAGTAAAATATAAATATAAGTAATTATGATTTTTAGCTGTATCTTAGATCCTAGTTATTATACAATTTCTTAATATTTTTAGAGAGGAAATATTATTACTTATTAAAAATAAAATACCTAAATTATTTTATAGGTTATTCGTTTGAGTCTTCTGTGATCTTACTTATCAAGTTTAACTTTTTATTTAATACACTATTTTCATTCTTAAGTTTTTCTATTGATTTCTTGTACTTGTTACATTCTTTCTCAAACTATTATACAGGAAATTTATTTTTATTGTTACTTAATACTTTTTTCTGATATTGTTACTTTTTTTTCTTACCATTTTAGACACTATTTCTTGGCGATAAGTTAATTTAAGTTCTAGATCTTTAATTTCATCATCCAATTTAGAATTTTTATTGTTAAAATACTTCCATACGTCATCAATTTTATCTTTTAACGTATTTTCTTGAAAATCAAACATCAGAATATTGTTTATAAAGTTTTGATTAGCATTATTAGATAAAATATCATTGTTACCTTCTAATTCTAATCCTTTTGTTAAAGAATATTTTTCCAATAGATATTTGCGCTAAAATTATTTTTAGAATTATTAATTTGACAAATACATTATGTTTAAGGATATAATATAACAGTATAGTTAAAATTATTCATTAACAATAATGTTCAACTAAACTAAATTCAATATATTTATCAGTTATTCAATTTGAAATTAGATAAATTTAAATTTTCAAATTACAATATAATTATATTTTATACATTAGACATAAACTATTAAAATGATAACAATTAGAAATGTTATTCTATAGTTCAACTTGTAAAATGATAATTATTAATTTTGTTGAATTTTTAAATTTATTGCTTAAAATAATTTATTTACTTGATTCAGAGCTTCAAGATGAGTTTTTAAAAATTCATATTGTTCTGAAATAAGATAAGCATTACAAAATTAAATGTAATTATAATTATTATTTATTAAAATTACCATTATTATTTATAAATTAAAATGTATAGTTACTAACTATTCTTTCCAGTTAAATCTTCCACATCTTTTTCCAATTTACATCTTACTTCGTCAAGTTCAATTTTCTTTATTTGTAATTCATTTATTTTTAAATTCAATTTAGATAGTTGATCACACAAAGATAACTCTTCTTTGTCTAGTAAATTTGATTGTTGAATTAAATCATTCCAAAACTATGAAAATAAAAGTTCTTTAGTAATTGTTATTGGTATAATATATTTTGTGTACCGCTATATTAAATATTTTACAAAAAAAAAAACTTCTGTCATCATCGAAATGATTATGTCGTACATATGGAAGTTCAGAAGACTGATTACTGGAACTAATTTTCGTAACTCCTGCACCAAAAGTGTAATTATCGATGCCAGTTGAAGTGGTGAAAAATGACCCTTTTCCGTCAAGCGAAAATGGTAAATATTTTTTTTCTGCCCATTGGACATACAAATAACAATTGTCCAAATTAAATTAATATACACGAATGCAAATTATGTTTTTTCTAATGTATCAAATAGATATTAAGTCATTTTTTTCAGGTTTTTTTAGGTCATTAAAATCCTAGCCCTAGTAATATTGTTAAAGCAATGACGTATATAGGTTTTCATTTCAGTGGGAGCCGATTAAGTATTCGTCTTTTTTTTTTGAGGGGGAGGGAAGGAAAGCAAGAAATGACACATTATTTGGACAAAAATTGGTTAAATACTATTAGTCCTTTAGACTGTTTTACTGTCTTACACCAAAAAAGACATTTTTTTAGTAAATTGTATAATATTATGCTAAATTGTGTTTTTAATTTAGGGGGGAGGGGGTTATTCAGCCACCCCATAATTACGTTACTGTGTTAAAGATACAATTGATTACATGATATAAACAATAATTAATATATTATAATATGATCTTTAATTTTAGTTTATGACTAATCTTTATATTGAAGAAAACTAGGTATATAATAGAAAACTTAAAGTTATTGGAAAAATGCTTAATGGGTGTCAGGTTTTAGGAAGATTTCACTTACTACCACCTGCCCAAAGCTTACATGAACATAAATGATTCAGCGCCATTGCAGCATGATGCCGTTTGAAAAATCTGGACACAGAGAACGATAAGAGCAGTAGTTAGTAATTCATCATGGATTACCGTCAGTCGTCACTCGTTTGTATCTGACTAATCTGGGCTGGGGTTCTGACATATTATATTTATACCAATGACGTGGTAATAACGTTAGAAGGCAGAGGTTTGACAAAGAATAGTATTTGTGGCTCGTGTGGGAACTTGTCACTGAAAATCCGATTTCAATCTTGGGCGAACTTTAGCTCTAGCCGTCGCCACTTACTGGCAGTACCGCACATATCGATATAGCTTACTTCCGGCTTTTGTCACACGAAACGAGACTATTGACTAGGTACTTACTTTTACATGTAAACTCTATTAAATTTACTTGTTTGAATTGAAGAAATTTTTTTTCAAGTTCTCGAGCCTCGTTGATTAATTTATCACCATCCATCATATAAACTCGACAGGTAGCTTTTACAAGGAAAATAAATTTATTATTAATCTTATAATTGTATAAAGTTTATTTATATACATTATTTTTGGTTCGTTATAATTAAGGCATGCTGTATACATGTAGCTTATAGTGTACACTAAAACATCATGATAATAGTATTCAGAGGAAAAATATACACAAATTAAAATTGCTTATAATTTATAGTTTTAGTTTCTACAGTTTCCACTCTGAGGGGGGATGACATATTGACCCTCTCCTTTGCCACCCTCCTAATACATTACTGAGTACAACCATGCTTGATTATATGTTAGGTTATACATACTGAGATATATTACTTATTTTTATAGTATTTCTTGGATACTGTTATATTTTTATAAATATACAATACGTTAATGTATTATAATAATATTACATAATATGGATACATACCTTTCTAAAGTATCTTTTGGTTTTAGTTTGCTTAGTTAAAAACTACAGAAACATACAAATTTATTAAACAGAAATGCTAATGAATGATGATAGCGCCGTAATGTTATAATGAGAATCTGATAAACATAGATGTAATATGTATACATATGATATATTATCAAGGATGTCCGTGTAGCATATTTTTTATATCATGCATGAACTATCCAGTATCCATAGATAACATAGTGTATAACTAATTATAAATATGTACATATTTTAAATACCTTTAAAATAATTTTGTAGTCACCAAAACAATTTAAGTTTAGAAGGTTTTTTCTATTTTTTTTCAAAGTTTATGGTAACTGTCGTAGAATTTTAGTGTCTACAATGGTGTTTCATCTTCTGACTAAAAGTTGTTTAACTATTTAATGAGTGATGTTCTTAGGATTTATTAATGGAGAGTACAGATAAATTGATTGAAAAACTTACCATGCGATTGTAGCTTCCACCCTCCTCCGACATTAAACAACAATAGAATATGTATTAAACCTCAATAAATATTATTTTTACTATGCTTGATGTTTATAAAAAAATATTTTAATTACTATTCATAATAGTACAAATATCAATTTTTCTTTGTCTTGAAATAACATCATGAACTTTTTCTGGATCAATAACCACTATTTCTCAATGATAAACAAAGGTATTGTCGACTGCGGCTGACATTGTTCACTCGATTGCGACGATGACACGTAAGCGGTAATAACTTTTCATCGCTTTTCATCTCTCGTTATTGTGATAAAACAAAAATCGTTTAAAATATAAAAAAAAGGCTAGGTTAAATTATTTACAAAACCTGTCATCATAATTTTTTGAAGTCGTTTCATAGGACTAATTTAAACGGTTTTTATTTTATTATTGAAAATGGAAAATCTTTTCAAGTTGGCTTAAAACTCACGGTTTTGGAATTTTTTTTATTAGTTTTAAGTTAAACAATTTGTGAATTTAATAAAATATATTTTCAAAAAACAGGTTTTTATCAAATGCATTATTTATTACGGATACCGTTCATTGTTCAAAAGATTATTTTCAATTCAATAAAATCAAAATATACTACTTAGACCATTTTTAGCTTTCGCCTTTCAGGATAAATAATTTTATAACACTGTCTTCTTTTTATTAAAAATTTGATTAATTATTAACTAATGCAACATAGGTTAGAATTTCCAATTGGCAATTGTTCATTAACATAATTACATGTAATTTAGATAATAGCGATGGTATAGTTAATAGTTTGCCAAAAATTGTGTACAAGGTTAATTTAAAACTACCTAAATATACCCATCAAAGAAATATAATAATAAATGTATTTATGAATTATTATAATTTATAAATAAAAGTAGCTACAGATTTATTTTTTTTAATTGTATATATTATAAATATATATATTTATATATAGGGATGGGCAAGATACTCAAAAACCAGTATCACGGTACTATAGATACTAGATACTTGGATTTGGAGTATCTCGATACTTACATTCGGTTCTATAAATTAAATTATAAATTAGCCATGGATGCATTTACACTTCCAACTTTTCTCTATAAATACGAGAAATATATTTTATATTTTTATGATTGTACATTGCTCATTAATAATAATCAGGACTTGCTTTTGAAAAAAAATTGTTATACGTTATTTACAATTAAAACGCCTTCTAATTTTTCGTTTATCGTTATCCAGAATTAAATTTTTTAATACATTTTATAAATTATAATTATTAAATAATTGGAAATTAATTATTTCGTTTAATGATGTGCCTACTACATATATAACGTTTTGTTTGACGATACATCATATATTTTGTTAATCGTTTTATTTTGTTTTGTGTTATGCAATAATTTATGTGTTTATCGTTTTCCGTTATAATTACGTTTACAAATTTCAATTGTTTTTTGTTTTTTTTTTTTTATCAAATATAACGTTATCATAACGTTTGCAAGCCCTGAACTCCAAACCCAGCCTTAGTGATGACCAATGACAAACCCTACCGATACGGCTGCCGTCACGGTATCTTTTTATGATTTATCGACCGTCGCGATACGTCCTAAACGTTTGTGACATCATGCACAATGGTCAGATAATACGATAATATGTCAAAGCGAGTATTGTCATTGTCGCGGGCGTGACCTCTGCGCTTCACGAGTTTTTCTCGACAATAACATCGACGACGATCGCCGTCGAAATGCGTTTCGTTTTAGGCGTACCTATTAGTTTTTTTATTTTTCGGTACCGATCACCAAAGCCGATCCCGGTTTGTAGTAGGTACCTACCACATTATACGTAACACGATCGACGACGTTCCGGAATTAGCACGCACTCGCCAGACGATTGACCGAGTAAAATCAAAATCGAAACGATCTACACCTCCCACCGATCCTCTGCTCTCGGTACAGTCCTCTGTGCTGAAGACGCACGCGATACTCGCTCGATATTCAATAATACTGCAGCGATTGCGTCATGCGGTCGCAGTATATCACTCGTATAATATCGCGTAGTGCAGGGGCGGCCAAACAGTCGATCGCGATCGACCGGTCGATCGCAAACGATTTTAAAGTCGATCGTGCTAAAATTTATTTTTAGGCTGCGCACACGAAAATTAATTATGGTGGTATAGTAACTTAATAATAATAAAAACTTTTTTATTGAAGTCGATCCTCAAATGTGAAGTATATTTTTAGTAGATCGCGGCCGAAAAAAGTTTGACCGTCCCTAGCGTAGTGTATACCTAGTGTATGCTTCGACGCACATTGTTTTCAAAATTATAGTTTAGAAACGATTTACTTGACCTCAGAAATACATGTATTATTATTTTTATTATTATATTGTTGTGCTCAAGTACAATATAATAATATTTAAACTAGGCCACCGCGCGTTAATCAATAGAGTAAATTAATTAATTAATTAATTAATTTAATGGGGGCCGTTGCCCAAACTAAAGCCATTCGCCATTGTTGATATATAATAATAACAAACGGTTGCAATCAGCTGCAGTATCTATGTGTATATGTATATATGTATAATAATATATTGATATATAACTGTTCTCCGTTTGTAGTCGTTTTGATTGTGATTGTACCTACACATATACGTATGTAATACAATATTGGATTTTATGGCTTAATAATTAATATAATATAATATAATATAATATAGGTTACGCGACGTATATTATTATGATTTTATATAGGTCATCATACGGACTTGCACTGTCGCATTGTGTGTATATTGACTTGGTATTAAAACAAAATTCTCACAGCTATTCCGTTTATTATATATTTAGCTATTTAGGTATACATAACGTAATAAATAATAATATAATTATGCGTTAGACAATGAAAATGTATCACTACCACTTAAATCGCAGGTATTCAAGTTATTTTTTCAAGACTGGTATTTTACACATGGATTGAACATTTTTGACCAACAATAATATTATAAAAAATATTAATAGATATATTCATAATAATACTGCATTTGGAAGATAATGCATTAATTTAACATTTAAATGTGTATATACCTATTGGCTATTTACTTCATATATTTTATTTTGAGAATACGCTGATTATCTTTTCGAAGATAGAAATGCGTTAGTTTATTTTTGCGTGCACAGAAGATTTATCAAACTTTTAGTCTGATTTTCGAAAGGATAATATTTCGATATTTTTAGTATAGTTGTAATTTGTAAGGAAAGACTACCCTACAAACAAGTGCCGATAACCTATAAAGAGATTTCAAAAAACGTGCACAAAATCGTTTTCCGAATGCGGTGGTTATAATTTACAATCAATTTTATTACACCTATCAATATTCACAACACCTACACGATTAAAGAGAATCGAATCCACACTTTGACCTAATCTAACCTTGTGTTGGAGTTATTTTGTCTTAAATTGCATAAAATTGTATATTTTTAAATGTTTTTCAACATCGTTCATGAATATTCAATATACATATTTTATATACCTTAAATTCACTTGTCTATTGTCAGTTGTCATGAAAATTAATAATAAAGCACAATTCTGGTATTTATTACAGTTGTATTACTTATCTGGAGAGAAGTTTAGAAAATAGTTTTAGAATATTTGCCTGATATGGCACCTGGGTACAACTACAAACACTTAAACGATCCGCAAAGCATAATATAATGGTGCAATATTTTTAAAAACTACTGGTATAATTTTACGATTTATTTAGATTTATTATGAACAATAGTATATTTTTAGTTACCTAAAATTTTGTACAAAATCATGAATATAAATTTATTTTTTGACGGTTTTTATGAAAACGTTTATTGTTTTCTAAATACTTCGTGATTTACAACTTTTTAAATTTATAATGATTTGTTCGTTACATAATGTGCTATAATTAAGATAGTCATTATTCATTGATGTATATTTTATCTTGTATTTTCTTAGTAGAAAAAACGTTTAAGAGCCAACACTTAAGTTACTATAATTTGTTTCTTTTAAATATCTGTTTTTTCTCGTTTTAACTTTTAACGTCGAAATGTATCATAATAAATACAAAGAATCAATCGAGTAAAATGAATAGTTGGTATTATAGAATATTTAATATCATTTAAAATAATGGTTTAGTTTAGAGTATTACATTTTTATATACATTAGAAACATAAAAGTTTTATATTAATGTATAATTTTATGTTAACTATTATTCATTAGTAATAAATAATAATTAATCTACACAAGATATGTTTTAATACCATGTTACCACATCATATATAATATTTATGTATATTTATACATTATAATAAGTGACTCAATTACTTTTATTATAAGATTCTAATACTTCTATAGAGCAATCCTAGTTTAGGTTACTTTTCGGTCAATATTTAAAAAAATATATGTATATTACTCTATTTAGTCTATATGATATTATAGACAAAGGAAATCATAACATGATATGTAATTTAAAATTAGTTATTTATAAAAAGGAAAAATACTTCAAAATTTAAGGTTAAGACCTTTCTATTATGGAAAAGTTTGTATTGCTAGTTGCTTCTTTGAGGATTATTGTTGTTGATCATTGCAGGTTGATGAATAATAAAATATTAAATCATATACTATTAAAAGAGTATGTATAAATAATTTAACGCATAGGTATATTTTGTAAAACGCATTTTGTTTATTACATATATATTTAATATTTATATATAAATTGGAAGACAATAAATTAAAATATTTATATTATGTATATATATACATATTATATAAAAATACACGAATAAGGTTTTTACATATCAAAAGAAATGAACTTAGAATTTTGTTTTCGTAATGAAAAAAAACTCGTAAGAAAAAAAAAGAGTAAAATCCCATCAAGTTATCGTCGTCGGTTTGAGAAATGATCGGAAATGGTCATTACCATTTGTTGTAACCGTAGCCAGTGGAATGTGGGTACGAGCTGTAGCCCTTATTGTAACCGTTGTAACCGTTGTAACCGTGGGAGCCGTAGTTATCGTTGTCATAGTAGCTGTTGTGACCGTAACCGGAGCTGTACGATCCTGGGTAGTTGTAGCTGTTGCTGTACGAGTAAGCGGACGGGTATTTGTTGTATCCCTGGTCGTATCCACCGTAATAGTTGTTACCGTAACCGCTGCTCGGGTACTTGCCGTAGCCGCTGTTGTAGCCGCTTCCGTAGCCTGAAGAGTAGCCGCCGCTGTATGGGTAGCTACCGTACGACGGGTAACTGTTGTAACCTCCGCTGTAGCTGTTGTACGACGGGTAGCTGTTGTAACCGCTGTTGTAACCGCTGTTGTATCCGCTGCTGTAGCCGGTTGGATAACTGTTGTAACCGCCCGAGAAGACTAAAATAATGCGAAAAAAAAACCCAAAAGCGTCAAGTACAAATCAAAATTGTCACCGTTTAAATATTGCGAAAGGTAAACGTATGTCATTTACGTGACGTTATACTCTGCGATAATATCACATTATTTCGATCGGAGCGGTGGACAACATAATGATATCATTATATTAAAAACGATGTGTTGTTGTCACCGGTAACACGAGTTGAACTCGTTGAGGTTTCTCATTGTTAAAACGATAATAATGAAAGAAAAAATAAATACAAATAATACGTATACGCGCGCCCATTACAAAACCCACGAAGGTCGCACGGATGGTCTGAAAATTAATCTTAAAAGACACGGTCCCGTAGTCATCACGGACGTTCACACACGCGTGTTATGGCGGTTACCGCGGCAAGCACACGCAAGACGCACGGCGCGGACAGCGATTTCCACGCGCAGGAAAACTGCATCCTGTACGCGTCAGATAATATTCCAGCGAAGGATACGCGTTATCGTAAGTGTGTGTGTGTGTGTGTGTGTGTGTGATTAAATCATATTACAGTGTTTGCGTTTAGTTTTGCGTAAACACGGTGACGTGTGAGCGTATCTCGTGATGGCCGTCCACGCGGGCAAGTGCAATAAAACTGTCGTCGGCCCGTGTACATAATATTATATTATAGCACGTAATTTGGGACCTTGGATCGGAGTGGATGGTTATAATAATAACGGTGGGACGAACATTTACGAAACGCGTACGTATTTATGATGAGCGCAATTTTGTCTTCGAGTTCGATCTTCCGTGACAATCGAAAATCCTCGGCGTTTCGACGAACGTAATAGTTGTTCGAGTCGCAATGAAATATAATATTGTCACACTAATTATTATTAAAGGTATCGCGATTCTTATAGATTTAAGCGTTTTTCGTTCCAAAGTCTCCGATGGATCTCGACGTTGTAGAACCGTCGAAAAATATTACGATGCGTGTGTTGAAGGCTTTGGGTTATTGTAATACTTAGATAGAATTTCAAGAACGGTTATACGTCGAGACAAAAATCGAGAAACAATGTGCAATGAAAACTCAAACTAAAGTTGAGCGAACAGTGTTATACATATAACCAAACGAACTTCATAGTTTCATTAAGTAAAATATAGGTATATTCGAATTGTTTGTCAACACGTAGCCTTAGTGAATTTGTGTTTTTTGTTTAATTATAATAAAATCATAAAATTTGGCGACTATATTATATTGGAAAAATGCACAAAAAGGTTTATATACCTTCATTTAAAATTAAAAAATTGCAAGTAAAATGTAAATAAAACAAAATGTGTTATTAAGTTTAAAAATCAAGAATAAAAAAGGAAATAACATATACATAAAATAATTGGAATAAAACTATTAATAAAACGAGAAACATCAACAGATAAATACATAAGTAATAGGTATTTTGAGAAAATACGTTGATAAACTTATAGTTTAAAAATAATGTATGTCGACTTACATCGTCCAGTTGCCGCTGGTGTCAGATCGGATTTATCAGAACGTTTCTCGACCACTTTGGTTTCTTTTTTGGCTTCTTCACTCTTAGCAAGAGCTACGGTCACAGCTAGCACGACGAAAACCTATATAGTAGAGCAGAAATCACTATGAGTATGCCGACGTAAATAACATTGTATTGCAGTGTTAACTCAACACAGCTATCGTAATCGTTATAGTCGTTGGAAACTCAACAAACATATAGACTGATAGACGATATTAGATGTTGAGAGTTGAGTCGTTGAAATACGCGTCCATAAGTGCCCTATCGTCTACAACTGTTATAGCGACTGTATAATGTAGTTGTTGCAATAATATAAAAGCACTCACTTTGACGAATGTATTCATGGTGGTTTGCGATTTGTTGTCTGTCAGCTGTAGAATTTGATTATCTGCAGTGATGAGGAGATGGATTCGTTGTGCAGAAGAGTTCTACAGATCCGGCTTATATACTCGAGCCGGCCCGCGACCCCACCCGAATGGATAACCCTGGACTTTATGGGTTGCGGTTCCGCGCACCGTGTTTCGGGTGCCTGCCGCAGATACGAGATATGTCTTATGTGTCCGTGTGCGTGTTTACATTTATTTGTGTGCGTGAGAGGAAGAAAGGAAGAAAAAAAGCAAACAAAAAAAAAAAAAAAAAAATGAACGTGATTTATTCAAATAATATATACGTTATATTATATATGTATTTAATATATTGTTTATTCTGAAGGTCATGAGAATTTTTTCCCTGTAAAAAAAAATTTAAAAAAAAATACGGGTGTATAATATGTAATATATTTTAATAAATTATTACGTTATTATTATGTCATACATATTCAATTCGATTGGAGTAAAATCTCGCGGCGAATCCGTGCGTTAGCTGATGAATCGTTATTAACGTGTCGTTGAAACATTTTTAGTCATATTTTCCATTTAGAATACTAATATGGCAATGCATATTCGTATATTTTGATAAAAATTATAAAATAATATTATATAAAATTATAAATTCATCCATGTCCTATCGTCGCGTTTAAGTCGCCGTCATAGTTCGAGTACGGTGGTTCTAGATATATTAAAAATATTATATCGAAATAATGTTTTTGATTTAATGAAATTTATACGATAAACATGTGTATACGAATGTTGTGGAATTGCCTATTAAATGATGTCACGTACACTGCATAATAATATTAACGAATAACTAATATTTCGATCATGCGGTGAATAATGTTATTACATATTAGACATTTTGATAAAAAATATACCTACCCATAATCAAGAAAAATTAATTATTTTATGTTTAATCCATAGTAATTATAGTTAATGTATTGTTGTAATACATTAATTTTTAAACCAAAAATAAGAATGAATATAACAAAGTATTTAAAAACAAAAATGGGAGAGGGTCCTCAATAGGTAATAATAAGTGAAACGAGACAGCTTATAAGAACATATATATCAAACAATTATGCTCTATAAGTATTTTTCAATAATACTTATTCGTTTAAAACTATCAAGAATTAATTTTTTTGTTTCATAATGCTCAACAATTTAAATTAATTATTAGGAATGTAAATTCATTGTTTAATTTATTTTAAAACATTACAAATAATTAATTGGAATTAAGACCTTAAATATTTTATAATTAAAAAAAAAGAAATAAAAATTCTGTTAAAAATATTGTAAAATTCTTAAAAAAGGAAAAAATAATTATCTAAATAATCAAAATATGACAAAAATTACAACAAAATAAGTTTTAAAATTAAATTTTATACTACCTAAGAAATTTATTTTGCAATAAGTTTAGAAAAATTAATTTGAATTTCTAATAAATGATATGAATATTAGATAATAACAAAATAAAAACATGTTGATAATTTACAAAATATTTTTTTATTATTGTAAATTAAAATATACTTTCAATAACTTTCAATTAAAGAATATACTCGTAATATAGTACGTAAAAGTGCTAACGTGCCAATACCTGTAACACTTTTTTATAATACCTAGTAAAATCAAAATTTTAAGCTCTGGTAAACAAATTATTTTACGTGATAGAATTGTTTAATTAATTTTGATTGTGCTTTAAATATATATAAATATATATATCAGGAAAAATCACAATACAGATATTTAAAGTTCAAAGATGGACGAAATCACATATTTTTTGACGAATAATGATGTTAATTATTTTGTTATAATTTAAAAACATTATTCACAAAGACTTGTGACTTACAAAAATTATGAATTTTATTATATGCGATTTCATTTTCAATATATGTAGATTAATTTTAATCTATTACATATTTATTCTATGAACCTACTCACATTTTTTTACGATAAGGAGATATTGAATTAAAAGTTAATAACAATAATATAAAAATAAATAAAATTTGATATAGATAATAATATAATAAATACAATATTTTCGGGAAAAATTAAGTCAATCTAGCATAATACAAATAGTAAAATAAATTACTTTACTTTAATAGTAATATTAATAAACATATTATGAAATTTACTATTTGTATAGGTTGATGGACCTTTTCCACTCAGAATCATTTTTTACGTGCAATGATATATCATCGAATTTAAATTTAACACATCCATTACAGTTGGTACATACTATACCTACAGCAGAGCAATAGCCACTTACCCACATATTTTATTTTTAAAAGTATCAATTTTAAATTCAAAAAATTTGGTTCAAAATAGTTCCGAGTTTCCAGTTACGTTTCAAAATATTATTAAATGTTTGAAGTAATGAAGATAAAGTAAGGAACTACGTGTAGTTATAGTCACCCTCATCAAATATATTATTATTTTTTTGAGATAAAAGCAAAGTTTCTACGTTTGGAAAACTAGATTCCAAATAGCTCCAATTAAGTTTCAAAATATTAGTGAAGGTTGAAATGACATTAGTATATAGGTAACAATATTAGATGGACTATACATGATTTTATTAAATTATGAGTACATATATTTCTTTATGCGTTAAAAAAAATTTAATATCTATATTTCGACATGTACTAATTATTCATTAAAAGTTTTCTTTTGAACTAATTTATTTTTATAAAGATCAATAATAGTACTTATTGAGTATTGACAAATATGTTAGTGAAAGTAAAAATGCCGTAATGTACATTATGGGATAATAAGTATATTTTTATATTTTATGTAACGTATAGTATTAATATACAATTACAAAAAATCAGACAGACAAGTAAAAATAATTATAAGAATATAATGTTTTCATGTTTATTTAAACCTTGTATGTTTTACCAAAATAAATAGTGAATGAATACGTTATTATAAAACGGAGAAAAACATATTGATGTTTAAATTTCCTATTAATAGTAAATAAATATAATTTTGACTAATGGTTTGTTTGAAGTATAGTTAGTGAACGATGAGTCTGAATTCAAAATTACTTATATGACCTAGTATTAAATGTAATGCAATAATAATGACGTATAACCATAGCAAATAAACGTCATCCCACTATAGAGAAAAAATAATAATAGCTAAAGCAGAAATTAGTGTATATGTAATAATATTTTCAAAAAATTAAATCCTTCAAATTAGAATGATATGTTCTTATTCCTCAAGACATAGCAGTTCGATCCTTTCATAATGTATAGTAATATGTGTACAAACGAGTGTGTGATATGCCTTCAGAAATTATGTAAAACATCTAATTTAATCATGCATTTAGTCGATTATCATGAGCACGATTATAATTTAGTTGTGCAATTTTTATTTTTTTTATTTCTTGTTTTTAATGCATAACTATTAATTATACATTATCGGTGAAAAATATTTAATTAATATCATATTATTGTATAATGTATATAATATGATAGTATAGTACGGCGATGGACTATAAATAAGGCGTAGACTTTGTATTGTATATACTTAAATGTATATAATATATTATATTATATTACAATACTCTTATTCGGTATGGTATAGGGCATATTGCATATCATATACTTTGCTCCGATATAGTAGAATATACGTTTGTGGTATAAGCCTACTTGAAGTGCATGTTACACAAGCGAAGAAACCCACGATGATTCAAAATTTAAATTAAATGTAATATAACGCGTATGGTTTTGTAAATTTTGCATTGATATTAGCCGCTGTAGTGACCTTTATAAAACGTAATGTTACATTAGCTAGTAATATCAATTAGAGAACAGTGTTTAAAACTGCGAAACCACGATTAAATAAAAGATTTATGTTATGCGGCATTTCCTCAAATTCGTCCCAAACGAAGAATGAGTCACTTATCTTAACTCGCGCCCACTGCAATATTGTGGCTTTATAATATTAACATTGTTACAAAGCGTGAATCGAATCGGACGACTGTGTAGTGTATATTATGTATACTTATGTACTAAAAGTAGCTATATAATAAAAAAATAAATAAATAATAGTAATATAATATTATTACTGTGTATAATGTTAAGTATTTAAATACAGGTGTTTGATAGTATATAAAGTGAGTCTGATTGAAGTTTGTCCTCGGTTACGCACACCCGCCTACTAAAATAATAATATAAAATAAATAATTTGCTCCTCTGCATTCACCATCTACTTACATAGAAGTCTTAAAAACACACATTATACGAATTATTCTGATACTTTATGAAATTTTGATTTGACAGTTCGACTTTTGAAATATTTATACAACTATCATTAGTTATATAGTTCGGTGTCTCAACTATTTGAGGAACACGAAATTTAAATATATATAATATATTAGGTAACTTGCAAAAAATTATTCAAATTATAATTCTAGCTTGCGACTTACATACCAGTTTTTATTTTTTTGCCTTATACGTGATCTAAACACTATGGATTGTGGGGTTAAAACGTGATTTACAATTTTTATGTCAAAATATGGAACCAAAAACTTTTTAAGCGTATTAAGCTACCATAGTACCATCAGAATATGTTTGCTTGTCGTATTTTATATTAGACTAACAGCAAGTAATTATGTACATAACCCAGTAAAACTCCACTGTTTATTTCACGCTGCACGCTATAGCCTATAGGTATTATTGTATTATTATCTAATATTAAGCAACAATCTTTTAAGTATTGTACATAAAGAATTTCATCTTTGAGTTATAATCATTCCAATTTCCAGATGCAAAACTCAAAATCAACATTTCAAACGCATAGTATATATGAGATTCGACAAATAAGTAAATAAAAATATTACAATATATGCTTACTCAATTGTATCACAATAATGATTAAATTATATTAACTAAAGTATAAAAAAAATTACTAATATATCTAAAATAATGACCCCATCCTCCCATTAATGTGTAAAAGAGGTATGTATACAAAAAATAAATGTGCGTATACCTACATATTACAGCTGTCTAAGTCATTCAATTTATTCGATGATTTAATATTATGATGCGTAGGTAAGCTCCGTAG